AGCACATTGCTCAGCCTTCAGAAAACTTTCCGGAAAGATGAGCTACAAATATCATTGTAAGACTATGGAGATGGGACAGGGCCGCAGACTTACACTGTAGATTTTAAGGGATGAGGGGCAGAGCTGTATTTGGAGGTTTTCTGTGCAGTGGGCTGCGGTGGAAAACAGAGGGCAGGCAGGCCTCAGTTCCGAAGTTGTAGTGGGGAAGGGACAGGGCTCTGCGTGGGGTGCCCCATCGTGGTGCTGTAATGTGGTCTCTGGGCGCCGACCTCCGGAGGGCCCCGGTTGTTCTCAGCCTGGGTGGGGGGATAGGGTACTGTCTCCAGGGATGGCCTCCAGGCTGCGTTGGCCCTAGCTGGCGACCTGGCCTCCTCTGTGACCCGGGGTGGCTGGGGGAGTGGGGGCGTGGGGGCCGGTGGCTGACTGCACGCCGGGCCCGCAGTTTGACCACCTGGACTCCGAGTGGCTGGGGATGCCGCCGCTGCCCTCGCCGCGCTGCCTCTTCGGCCTGGGAGAGGCTCTCAACTCCATCTACGTGGTCGGCGGCCGAGAGCTCAAGGACGGCGAGCGCAGCCTAGACTCGGTCATGTGCTACGACCGGCAGTGAGCGGGGGCCGGGGGCGGGGTTGAGGGGCCCGGGGGGCGGGGCGGGGCTGGGGGATGCGGCGGGGGCCGGAGCCAGAGCCCGGGGCTGCGGGCGGAGGCGGGCTTGGGGAGGGGCGGAGCGGCGGGCCGCCGGGTGGGAGCCGGACCCGAGAGGTGCCGCTAAGGCACCGGGTGCACCCCGAATATGTGCTGGCTGGGTGGGTGAATGCAGAGACGGGGACCCAGCACGCTCCTGAACCGGGCGCTCGCCCTACTCTGGTCTCCTCCAGGTCGTTCAAATGGGGCGAATCGGATCCGCTGCCTTATGCCGTGTACGGCCACGCGGTGCTCTCCCACATGGACCTGGTCTACGTCCTTGGCGGCAAAGGCAGCGACAGGTGAGGCTCGGGCCTGGAGCGAGTGCAGGAGCAGGGCTGTAGGTTAGAGCGGGAGCACAGTCTCCCCAGGCTGTCGGGGATTTGTGCCGGCTGCCGGGGCAAGGCGTCCGGAGCCACTGAACCGGAGGAGGGGCGCTGTGCTCAGGCTTCCTCCCTCTCACTCACGGTCCCCCACCCCCAGAAAGTGCCTGAAGAAGATGTGTGTCTACGACCCTAAGAAGTTCGAGTGGACCGAGCTGGCCCCCATGCAGACTGCGCGCTCCCTCTTCGGGGCCACCATCCACGATGGCCGCATTTTTGTAGCCGCCGGGGTCACAGACACGGGGCTGACCAGTTCAGCTGAAGTGTACAGCATCGCGGACAACAAGTATGGCTGCTTCCTGCCCCTTCCAGTGGGCAGTCAGGGACCAACGGCCCCCCTGTGACTGCCTGGCTGTGTGGCTTTGAACCTGTTGGGTCTCTCTGCAGACGGCCCTGGCAGGAACCACGGTCCCTCCGCCTTGACATCAGCACAGGAATAGCCTCTCTCTCCTCATCAGCCATGAGGCGGGCTTCCCCCACAATTGGGGGCCAGGGTTAGGGCCAGCCTGGTCTGCAGGAGAGAGCTCCCAGGAGTGGGGCGGGAGATGCAGGTTCTTCATTCAGAGAGTCATGCCGGCCAGTGGCCTGGTGCTCCAGATACACTGATGACCAAGACAGAAGCTGCCCGGCCCTGGGAGGTCAGGGGAAAACTGAGCTGGCAGTCCCCTTGGACTTAGCCAGCAAAAGGGATGGCGGGAGAAGGGTGCTCCAGGCCAAGGAAAGTTGGTGACAAGGCAGTTAGGAGAAAAAAAAGGCAGGCCTGTTGGAGGAAAGGTTGGAGGAAGGAAGGTGGGGATGGGGGGCACTGGGGTTGGAGAGGTGGCAAGCAGGGCTAAGGGACTTAATCCTGAGGGCGGTGAAATGCCTGTGATGGGTTTTAGGCTCACATCTGTGTTTTATTAGGTAACAGCTGATGTGGAGAACAGATTAGAGATCTTCCGGGAGGCAGGGGTGCAGCCACAGAGCAGGAGGTGGTGGCGGCATGCAGATGGGGGCACAGTGGCGATGAGGCAGAGGGGACGCACAAGAGAAAGATGTAGGCCAGGGCTTCCCACACTGGGGTATGCACGCGAATCTCCCGGGGCGTCACGTTAAAATGCAGATTCTCATTCTTGGGCCTGGGGAAGGGCCAGAGTGTGTATTTCTAACACCCCTCACGCCGCCCAGGTGATGCTGCTGCTGCTGGTCCACGGGCCGTACTTAGAGTAGCAAGAGTTTAGGAGATAGAAGAAATAAGATTTAGAGATTGATTGGATGTTGGGCATAAGAGGGAGATGTGGATGCTTTTGAGAGAGGGTGGGAGGTCATTTACTGGAGAACCACTGAGGTTAGATCGGAAATGTGAGGGTCCAGTCAGGACATGTGGACATGTGGGATCTGGGAGTGTCCCGGAGGAGCCCACCGGGGCAGAGAGAATGCTGAGCTGGAGAGATTTGGGGCCAACAGTAAACGGAGGGAATGAGCTCCCTCAGGAGAGAGAGTGTAAGAGGGAGAAGCTGAGGCCCAAGCCCCGAGGGATTGGGGAGGCAGATGCATTATCCAGGAAGGAATCTGAAGACATGAGAGGCTGGGCAGGTGGGAGGTGAGAACATCACATCAGCAGAGATGTGTGTTATGCCTAGATTTTATGCTCTGTGGTGTGCTGGGGACCGGAGAGCTGTTTTGGAGGGTAGGGATGAAGGCCCAACCTCATGGCCAGAGGAGGGGAGTGAAGACACCCTGAGAATAATTGGGCAGTGAAGACGGGAAGAAGGATGGGGCAGGGGCGCCAGGGGAGGGCAGCTGCCCTGGGGGAATTAGTTCAGGAGCAAAGGAGGGCCGCTGGGGAGATCCATGGTGGATTGCACGGGGCAGGCTGGATGCAATGACCAGGGGACCGTGAAGGGAAATGGGAGGGGCAGGAGAACGGGGAAGGCTGGAGGGCGGTCCTGGGAGGATCAGGACACAGAAGGTTGTGCCGGGAGTATGGGTGCTTGGGATTCGGGTTTCCAAGGGGTGTGGCTGAAGCTGTGGGCGCTGGGGCCCCTGGGTGATGCACCTCTTCACGCCCCCTCCTCCCCGCCAGGTGGGCACCCTTTGAGGCCTTCCCACAGGAACGCAGCTCCCTCAGCCTGGTCAGCCTGGCGGGCACCCTGTATGCCGTCGGTGGCTTTGCCACGCTGGAGACCGAGTCTGGAGAGTTGGTCCCCACAGAGCTCAACGACATCTGGAGGTGAGCCCGGGGCCCAGGGAGGTGAGGGAAGCCCCCGAGCCAGGCTGAGGCCCCCCAGCGGCCCCTGGCGAGTTCATCCGGGGCTGGGGTGATCCCTCTTCCGGGGAGTCCCGTGTGGAAGGGACAGCGGACACACCCTGCTCAGCCCAGTCTTTCCGGTTTGGCTGGCAAGGGCCCGGTTTGCTCACAGGGCGCCATGCCCCGCTGTGGAGCATCAAGTGAGCCGCAGGCTGGAGCTGCCCCAAGCTTAGGGCCCAGACCCAAGGAAACAGGCTCCAGGGAGTAGAGGGGGCCCTGAAGAGGCAGCCAGGCCTTTCCTCCCCACTCCGTCCTGGGTACTCTTGCTGGAGGGGTGAGCTGGGGCCAGGATTGAGAAGAAGCTGGACCCCAACTTCTGAGAGCCATCGCTTTCCATGCTGGCCCTTCCTGGGGGTGGAGGGAAGAGGTTTCGGTGCCTGGGGCACCTGCTAAACCTTCAGTTATTCTCAGGGCTCCATGGGGGCAGGTGGGTTTTGGGGGCACTTCCGGAGTGCTGAGTACAGAATTCTCCAGAGGAGGGGCTGTGGAGATGCAGGCCTTCCTGGAGGCGTGGGACATTCCTCGAGAGGTGACCCTTCCTGGAATGTGGGGTGGCTGTTCTTTGGGGGTGGGCCTTGTGTGTGTGTGTCGGGGGGGTCCTTTCCCAGGACATGAGAATTCTCCAGGATCAGATCTTTCTGGAGACGGGCCTGGGGCTTCGGGGACACTCCCCAGGGGTAGGCATCGTCAGCCACCCCTCTCCGCGGGGGCCCACTCTGCCCTCGGCTGACCCAGCTCCGTGTCCGTGTCCCCACTCCTCCCTCCCACCCCCAGATATAATGAGGACGAGAAGAAGTGGGAGGGCGTCCTGAGGGAGATAGCCTACGCAGCCGGCGCCACCTTCCTACCTGTGCGGCTCAACGTGCTGCGCCTGACCAAGATGTGACCAGCCCCGAGGGCCTGAACTAAGTACCCCGCCCCCGCCCCGCACCCTGCGGCCACACAGGCCTGGACTTTTGAGGGCTCCGGAGAGGAGGCTGGGAGAAGCCCAAGCCCGCCTGGGTCCCGTTGTGCCATCTGGGGTGCTCTTCACCAGGGGAGGGAGATCGCTGGCCAGTCCTGGCCTTTCCGGCAGGGACCAGGAACTTCGGGCTCTCCGGTGTCCCCATATCCCCGGTCTTGTTCCGTGAGCCAGAACCGCAGGGAGGTTGCATTCTGGGCCAGTCCCAGCCCACCTGTGTGCGGGTGGGTGTACCCGCAGGACTCCATCTCCTCGCCTGTCAGGTGGAGAGTGTCCCTTCCAAGCACACTCTGCAGCCTGGGTAAGTCACCTTCCTTAAGAGGAATAAAGTGCCTTCTGAGCAAGTGGCTCAGGGTCTGGAATCAGGTCCTCCAAGGGTCAGTGGCCAGGTGGTTGAAGAGTCCAGGCTTCGGTGTTCAGCTGCTGGGTTGCCCAGGTCAGTGGCCTCCACACTCCACGTGGGTATCTCCTCCACATTCTGTGTGCACCCGCCTCCCTGGGGCCCAGAACCCCCACCTCATGGACAAGGAGCCAGGAGATTGCTGGTGGAAGGGACAAGGGAACAGCCAAACTGTGGTAGAAAAGTCTTTTATTCTAGCAGTCAGGCCCCATCCGGCCTGGGCCTGGGCGTGGGCCCGGGAATAGCTGAGCAGAGCCTACCCCTCTCCCCTCTGCCTCCTCCCACCTACTCCGGCTTCTCTTTGTCCCGCTTCTGCTCCTCCTCTAGGGCCAGGGTTCGCTCTCGCTCCTTCACCAGCTGGACACCACAGTAGGTGACAAATAGGACGGCCAGAGTGGTCGGGGGGAACCCTGTGTGGGGAAGAGGTCATCGATGCCTGGGAGCAGGACCCCAGCCTCAGGGACTCTTTTCCTCTCATGCCCCTCCCCCCTTGACGGGCCCGCCCTGCTAGGTCCCCGGGGTGTTGGGTTGGGGTGGGGGCGTTTCAGGAGGTCACAGTCCTCCAGGTTGATGCCTGGCATCTTCTGTACCCACACCTCCCCCCGTCCCTCACCTGTGAGTAGCAGGCGCCTGGCAACCAGCTCTGTGAACTCAAGACTGTTCAGGCTTACAAGGTTGTACATGATGATGGCCCAGAAGTTCATGGCCCCAAAGAGGGCCCGGACCCTGCGAGACATCTGCTCTGACAGAGAGGCCTGCCCAGGCCAGGAAAGCATTGGCAGTGGGGCAAGAGAGCAAGGGGAAAGAGCACACAGTTGGTCAGAGGTCCTGCCCACAGGGCTCCCCCAGGTCCTGGGCACATTGTGCTTGGGTCTCTGAGAATCCCCAGGGCAGCCCTCCTTCGTTGTTAAAGATGGGAATACTGAGGACCAGAGAGAGGGGAGGGGCCTGACCAACACAGCCTGGCCCAGGTGTCCACACTCCACAGAGGGAGTGCTAGATACCCAGAGGGGGAGCCATTGCCCTGACAGCCAGGAAGTTGGGGTGAGAAAGTTCCGGACTGGGGGCCAGGTGTGGCTGGAAGACTCCAGAGAGCAGCAGTGCACCCCCTCCAGTGACCCAGCCAACCCCTGCCCCAGGCCTTCCCCACTCACCTCAATCTGTGCTAGGGGCCCCCACTCTGCCAGCTTCTGCACCCAGAGTTCAAAGTTGAGGCCAAAGCAGTTAAGGAATGACCACAGGTAAACAATATCACAAGGTCCAAGCCACAGAGTAGTGATGGCAAAGGTGGCCACGGTGGCCCCCAGCTCTGGAATCACCTCGGAGTGCTCCCCACCAATGTGGTCATACACATACCTGCAAGAAAGGCAGGAGAAAGGACCAGCAGGGGTGTGGGAGAGGGCAGGTAGGAGACGGGCAAAGGACATGCCACCAGGGCAGCCTTCCTCAACACCACCATCCCGGGCACGTCTAACATCCCTGACCTCAGATGGCTGCTCCTCTTCTGCCCAACTTCAGAATGCGGAAGGCTCAGCTTTGAACTTCGGTGTCTCCTCATCCGTTCCCCAAGCGATCTCATCCAGACCCAAGACTTTGAACACTGTTTCTAGGCTGATGAGCCCCAAGTCTATGTCTCTAGGCTGCTGTCTTGACTCACACATCTAACTGTCACCAGACATCTCACTTGAATGACAGAGTCCCCCATCTCTGTCCAAACCTGCTGCATCCTCATCTCAGACAATGACACTTCCATCCATTCAGTTGCATTGAGAAGACTGGGCGCCATCTTGGACTATCAGTTCCCCTCTCCACGTCCAAGCCAGCAAATTCTGTGGGCTCCACGCAGTCCTGACTGCTTCTTGCCACCCCCACTACACCACCCTTGCCCAGCGGGTCGTCTCCTCTCATAGATTATTGCAAGAGCCTCTTAAGTCACGTCCCAGCCTCTGCCTTGGACCCCTACCATCCGTTCTCCACATAGCAGCCAGAGTCAGAGCACATGACTTCCACAATCAAAGGCTCCCCATTACAATTAGAATAAACTACCTCCCTACTAAGGCTAGAAGATCCCATGATGTCTGGTTTCCGCCTCCCTCCCTGACCTCCTCACCCACCATTTCCTGCTCATTCTTGCCTTACTGGCCTTCCTGTCCCTCAGACACAGGCAGCTGGTTCCTGCCTCAAACCTATGCCCTTGTTCCTTCTCCCTCGAATTCTCTTCCCTAGATTTCCTTATCACTCAAGTCTCAATTCAACTATCATCCCACAGAGGCCTGCCCAGAGCACAACTGTGGAAGCTTCTACCCTGTGGCCAGCTTTTATCCCATTACACTTGTTTGGTTTTTTTTCATAATGCTTACCACTCTCTAAAATTGTTTTATTTATGTGTTTGTTTACCTGTTTATAGTCTGTTTCTCCCCACTAGACTGTAAGCTCCATGAGTTCAGGGTCTTTGCCATGTTCACTGCTGTATCCCCAGTGCCTAGAACAGTGCCTGGCACATAGTAGGTACTCAGTAAATATTTGTTAAATAAATTCAGTAGAAGACCCATTGAGTAACTGACCTCTTCATGCCTTGACCTCTTCATTTCCAGTGGTTGCTTCTCCACGCCATCTCAGCCACCCACTCCCATGGTCATACTCCAACTTTGTTACCACTTGAAATTTCATTCCCTCCTAGTTATCATTCTCCACCCAGCTCCTCCTGACATGCCCCCCACCAGCTCCAGTTCTTCAATCTCATTGACCCCTCCCCCTCCCCCCCTTCCTCACCTTGCAACCCTATTTTTACCACCCTCTTTAACTGGCTTAAATTCAATGATCATCATTATAAATAACCTAAAACCCCTCATCCTTCACTTCTTCCTTCTCACCAATCTGGGAGAGCCCAATCTCCCATGGTCTCCTCACCTACACCCAAGAAGCTAAGCTCTGATAAGGAAAATCTCACACCTTTACATGCTGGAGTCCATAAATCCACTACCTCCAACCCCACCTGGGCTCTCAATGCCAAGGTTTCTGTAGTCAGCTGCTGCCTCTGCCATGCTCCCCAGTGGCTACTCCACCCTTATCTCTCCCCCAACTGTGAACGGGTGTGGTGGGTGAGCTAGGCAAGAGGAAACGGGGCACGAAGATGCTGTCTCCCTCTGTGCCCAACCTGGCATCTCTCAGCTGGTGACCTTGCCTCCTACTTCATGCAGAAAACTGAAGGCTTCAGGTGGATCCCTTACTTCTCGACACTAACCCGCCACCCTGCATCCATGCTGGCTTCTGTTCCTCCTCCCTGTCCTGAAGCCAAGCCTCTGCCTAGCACTGGTTCCATCACCTCCTGCCTCCTTGGGGACCTCACTCTATCAATCACCCCTCTATCCTGCCTCCCCAACTTAGACTTCCTCTTAGCAACCGAGCATGTCCCACTATTTGCTGTCTTAAGACACCTCACTTCTCCCTTCAGCAACTCCTCTGTCTCCGCCTCAGTAGCTAGCTTCCCCAGCAGCATCTGACCCAGCTGGCCCCACCGAGCCTGGATGCTCTTCCTTGTTTCCAGACTGTCACGTGGTCTTGACTGTTCTCCTCTGACCACACCTTTCAGTCCCTTCCGCCACTCTCTCTTCTCCCCCGGTGGGAGTCCTTCCTGCTCCAATCTCAGCCACACCTTCTCTCTCCTCTTCTTTACGCTCTCTCCTTGGGACTTAGGCACTCCCAAGGACTAAAGACCACCCTCCCCCACTCATAAGGCTTGGAGCTGCTTCGGTCCTCCAGACTTCTCTGAACCCCAGACCCTCAGACCCAACCACCTCCCTGAACCTCCACAAGGATGTCTCCCAGATTCCAACCATTTCTCACACAGAACCCCTCTCTGGATGCTGCCCCTCCATCTTCCCAGGCATAGGAATCTGGGAGTCATTTCCGTCTCCTTCTCGATCCCCTCAATCCATGGCCAAGTCCTGTCCAGGCTCCGTGCTGTGTGTCTTGACTCCAACCGTTTCTCTCACCTCCAGCGCCCCCACCCATGTCCAAACTTCTGTCTTTCACCTAGACCTCTGTGACGACCTCCTCCTTGCTTCCTCTGGCCCAGGGCTGATCTTTTAAAATGTGGACCCATCTCTGCACTGCCTTGCTCAGACACCTGGCGCGATGACTGTGACCATTACCCCACCCCACCCCAACTCACTTGCAAAGCCAGTCGTTGATGCCACGGTCAAAGTGCCTGAGGGAGGAGGGCAGATGGGTGTGAATCAGCCAGGAGCAGTGCTCCGGGGGAATGGGGGAAAGAGGCTACGGGAAGGTGGGGATCCCAGTGGCGTGTCCCCCAGACCTCACACTCACGTTTCGGCGAAGACATAGAGCGCGGTGATGCACTTAGGAGGCTGGGGAGGGTCCAAGTGGTCAAGGCGCGCCACTGTGTTGACCACGCCGAAGAGGACGGCTGCCTTCACCCAGTCGTACACCAGGTTTGAGTAGGCTAGGACAGCTGGGGATAGGGTGTTGTCCCTGACTGGGGGGCGTCGCGCGGGTCTCCGCTCCCCAGATCCCTCAAATCGTGGTGGGGAGGCACGGAGCCAGGCCCTCCCCTACGGCCTCTCTCCCCAGGTCAAAGGGGAGGTCCTGGCAGCCGGCCCGCCCCCACGGAGACCCCCCCCACCCCCCATTCCCTGGGGGAGGAGCCGGCGCGGCCAGCCCCAGGGAGACCCCACCCAAGCCGTGGTAATCAACCAGAGACCCTCGTGAGGCAGCTCTGTCCCTGCCGCTCTGGCCTCATAGAACAAAGCTAACTCCAAGTCCCAGGCATTTCAAAGAGTAAAATCCCACCCCCCCCCACCCTTGGATAGGTGCTGTGCCCTCGCAGGGTGTCAGCTCCCCAGCAGCGACGCCATGGGGACACAGAGGGTCTGTCTCTCTGTCTTTCCCAGTCCCTGTCCTGGCCGGGTCGCACACCCACCGAGGGCGCTGTCCAGGAGGCGGTTGGCAAACTTGAGGTCACTGGGGATGGTGAGGATGTAAAAGAAGTGGAAGAAGATGTCCACGGCCATGATGGCCACGACGCTGAGGCCGGCCTGGGCCCGGATGCGCCACAGCTCACCCTCGCGCCTCACCGGCTCCACCTGGCTCATCTGGGGGATGCGGAGCATCTGAGTGGGGAGGCAAGGCCTGCCGGAGGCATCCTGTCTGGATGGGGGGGGGCACCAACTGTCTGGGGATCAAGGTGAGGGGAGACACGCCTGCATCCTGGCGGCTGTGCCTGAGAGTGGAGTCACTTCTCCAGCCTGTGGTCCCCGTCTGAGCAGGGAATGTGACCCCATGCTGGGGTCTGAGGAGGCAGGGTATTATGGCTTCATCCTGGGGTCCTGCCTGAGGGTGAGGACACAGCCTGCCCTGGGAGTCCTAGCTGAGATGGGAGCCCCGGTCTGAAGAGGGAGACCCAGCCCTGTTCTGGAAGCCCACAGGGTGTCCGCTCACCTGAGCGTGGAAGCGATCAAAGGTCATGATGGGCCCGAAGAAGAAGAAAGGCAGGTAGAAGTTGTACTTGAGCAGGTCACCTAGGGAGTAGCGGCGGTCAGGGTGGGCACAGCTCTCCAGCGCAAAGCTGGTACAACGCAGCACGGTGAAACCGCTGCCCCCGTGAAACAGCACCTCTTGAAGATCAAAAGTGCCTGTTACAAACCCGCTCTGGATGGGAGAGAACAGGCCGCCAGCTCACCAGGTGCCCCATCTCTGGGAAGCCCACCCAGCTTCCCACAGGGGCCCAGCGTTGTCCTGGCCCCTTCCTCTCTTGCAGAGCCAATCAACACTGGCCACTGAGGGCTAATTCATGTTGAGTGCTTGGACAGAGCAGGGAACGAGCTGGACACGTCCCCGCTGCGGTGCAGGGGACCACTTTGTGGGCGGGTATGTGCCTCAGTCAAAGGTTTGGAGACAGGTGGGAAAGTGAAGGAAATGCTTGGGGGAGACTCCAAAAGCAAGGGCTTTAGATGGGGTGAGCAGTTTGGGGTCCTCTTCTTGCACCCTCCACCCTTGCCCTTCCCCAGTGCACACCTGCCAGGAGATGAGGGGATCCAGCTTGAAGGAGGCAAGGCTGGCCAGGCCGAGGCCAAGACAGAGCCAGGGCTGGCCCAAGAGTGAGGCCACATAGAGGCTGACACAGTGGGCAAGCAGCAGCCCCAGGTACCAAGGGCCCATCGTGCCCAGCACAGCCAGGGCCCCATACACGGCATACATCCAGGAGCGGAGCTGTGGACAGGGGGAAGGAATGGTTTATCTATCCATACAAGTGGAAGTGGGACCCCAACCCTTGTAGCTCAAGGGGAGCTGGCAGGGGAGGCTGGGGTGGCTCAGGTCCAGCTCACCTGGGGGGCAACCATCGTGCAGAGTTTAGCAAACAGCACATGTCCAGAAAGGGCGAAGACGATGATGTTTCGGAAGGAGGTGAACCACATCACCCACTCGAAGTCAGCCACGTCCTGGGGCAGGCAGGCCCGGGCAGGTTAAGGAGGGGGCAGCGGGCAGGATGGGCTGGCGCTAGAGCTGAGCAGAGTCCCAGCACCTACCTCCCCAACCCCCATATTCTTACATATTAGAGGACAGCCATGGCTGGAGGCCCTCGCCTTCCCCTCTGGGGGAAATGCCAGCCAGGTAGGTAGAGAGAAACGAGGGGTACCATGTGTGCCGCCCTGCCCCCCAGAACTCCCCCTCTTCAGCATATTGCCTGACATTCCACCATTAATGGCATTGTTCCTGGGAAGGATGGTGCTGGAGGCCCCCGCTGAAGCATGTCTCAATTTATTTCCTAAATGAGCAGTGTCTGGGGGCAGGCTTGATGTGGCCCCAGGAGGACACAGGACGGGCCAGTGGGGAAATGGAAGGCTCTGAAGCTCAAGCCAGAGACCCTCCTCACTGTGAGCCCTCTGTTACATGGGAACATCTGAAACGGGGGAGAGTCGGAAAGGGTCCGGGGTGGGAGAGACATGCCAGGGATCGGGCACCTCAGTCAGGGACCCTGGGGTGTGGGGGACCTACCATCTTCCGGCCAATGTACTCCCAGCCAGGTCTCACAGACTCCCGGAAAGCCTTCCTGTGGGCCCCATCTGAGAACAGAGTGTGGCCTCAGTGGGGGCTGCGGGGACTTCACACCCATACCTGCCCCTACAGCAAGGCTGATCCCCACCCTAGAGGGATGGGAATGGGTCTAGGTCTCTCTCTCTCTCTCTCTCTCTCTCTCTCTCTCTGCCTCTGCTTCTCTCTGGGTCTCATTGTGTGTCTCGGGCCAGGTCCTGCCTGTACCCCCAAGTGTCTGAGTCTCCCTCTCTCTCTGTGGCTCTGTGTGCGGGTCTCTGTCAGTGCCTCTGCATCTGTCTCTCCCTGTGACTACACCTAGCTCAGCCCAAACCCCCGGGCTTAGGGACTATCCTGGGTCTGGAGCCTTGAAGTTTATGGCCTTGCTGGGTGGAACCCTGAGGCCCGCAGGAGAAGAAGGGTCCCACCCCCTGCTCCAGAGCCCGGCCCTTACCTTGTGAAGCTTCAAGGAGACCCCGACCAGCATAGGCCAGAGCCCCACTCAGCACCAGGGAGTATAAGCCCAGCTCCGCCGCGGGCAACGCTGTCTTGATGCCCATAGCCTGGATGGCGCTGGGGGAGACAGATCGGGTGAGGGCACTGCTGCCCCCCAGCCCTGCCTAGCCCCAGCTGATGGTTCCCCACAGAGGTGATGGGGATCCCATTCTGAAGAGAGATTGCCCCTCCTGCCCTCCGGGGATCTCACGCTATTAACCCATCTTATCCCCATCCCCCACCCCTCCCCTCCCAGATGCCCTAACATCCGGTGCCCATTCCTAGCAGCTGTTCTCGCTCCCCCCCCCCTTTGAAGGCTTTTGAAAGCCTAATCTTCACTCTCAGCCTGCCTGCCTCACCTTCATTTACTCCTTCATACCTTTCAGGTGGACGGGTCCCCACCCTTTGCTCGCACTGCTCCTGCCGAGGCCTCAGATAACCTTCATGTGGAGGGACTCCATCTGTGTCACCCCAATCATGTTCCTGGCCCTCAGGGTCCCCACCCCCCTCAGTAAGCCTCCTTCAGCTCCTGACAATGTCCCCCCTCCAATACCCCCTTCTTGGATTCCCACACCCCTCCAGAGCTGCCTTTACTTCCCTGAGATCTCCTGGCCTCCCAGGTCCTGTCCCCAGCATTAAGCTTCCTGACCTCTCATTCAGCCTCCAGCCTCACTGATTCCCATTGCCCCAGCCAGCCCCTGAGCCCCAGCCTGCCACTTCCCCGGTCCCTGCCTTGTGTGCGTGGCCACATCGCCCACTCTCTCAGTGCTTGTGTATTCAGGCCCTGGATGCTGGCTAGAGGCGGTGCTATTTGAAGAGGTGCCCTGGGGCAGTGGATATGGGGCCAGGCAGGGCCAGACAGCCCCAGGGAGGGTGCTGGCCTCTGTCCAAGGTGCTGACCGCTATCAGGCTCAGGGTGAACCTAGCCACGCCCTTCTTCCAGGGCCTAGTTCATCCCCAGGAGTCCTGCTGGGCCACCCCCTCCTATGCTCCAGCCTGGCCTTGGGCTTTCCCAAGGGTGCCACGGTTAACAGACCCGGGGCCAAATTAAAGGGAGGAACATGTCCAGGCACTTTCTTGTGCTGGGCTGGGCCAAGAGGTGGCTGGCATGGCCCTGTCTCCCACCCCTGATCCTCCCCCAAATCTCCCTTCCCAACGATGCAACCAGCTCTCCCAGGCCCCCACGGTCAGCATTCTCCCCACTACATAGACAGAGGGGTCATGGGCCAGAGAGGGGCAGGGATCTGTCAAGGTCACACAGTAAGCCTGGGACAGGATTGTGTATTCCCAGTGAGCCCTCCGGAATCTCAGTTAAGAGCATTGCTGCTGCTGCCCATACCAGGGGGCTTCCCAGACTGACCTCTGCACTGTTGGCCTGAGGGCTGAGGCGCCTCCTCATCGGCCAGGTCGGGGGAGGGAGGCCTGGAGGATCGGGTTAATGGAGCAGGAGTTTGAAACCGGAGCACAGTGAAGAGCCCATGAAATAGCTTTGTCAGCTGCCTCCCACTTGCCACTTTCCAATTTTAGCTCCCCATGGCCGGTGCGGGGTGTCCCCAGTGAGGCCTCTGTGAGCAGGGCCAGGGCTGGCCCCCGGCCTGGGACCACTTCCGATAGACCCCCGGACCTGGGCCCCCATTGGATACAGCGGTGCCCCCTGCCCCCTGGTCCTGCCTGCCTCAGGTACACCTGAGGTAAAGACTGCTTTAGGGCCGGAAGTTTGGGATGAGGGGCTTGAGGTGGGCTCCATAGGTCTCAAGGACCCCAGAGTGGCTGAATCCCCGGCTGGCACTGACCTTGAGGAGTCTGTGAGGGACCCTGGCACACTGCCCACCTCGGGGCTCCGGGGTCCTGCGTCCAACCGTGCGTCCGTCCGACCAGCTAGGCTCTGGAGCCACAGTGGGGTGTGTCCAGCCCTGGGGTCCCCACCCTCTCAAGGCTATGAGCGGTGAGTGGTGACAGCAGGAGGAGGGTGGAGGAGGGCAGGGAGGAGGTGGCCTTCCTGGAGCGGAGCGGAGCTGAGCAGAGTGGAGCGGAGCCGAGTGCTGCAGAGCTGCTGGCCACAGGGAGCCACAGGGAGGATCGTGGGGGGTGGGGGGTGGGGCAGGGGTAGGGGAAGGGGTGGCCAGTGGTATAGGCTCCAACAGGGACACCTGGGCCTCACTTCAGCTTGCCTCTCCTGGTCTGTAGAGCCTGTGCCTCCCTCTCACTGCTGGCCAGGACTCCCCTCTTCCAGGAAGCCTTTCAGGCAGCCCTCACTGACCTCTTGTGAGCCGTGCCCCCACGGCATGCACACACATGCACACTTCATGCTCAGCTCCATACTCTAGCCTGCACCTTTACATGTGAACTCCCAAGGGCTGTCCCAGGGCAGATCCATCTAGCCCCCTGCTCTGGTTCATTTCATTATGCCAAGAGTCCGATAGCTGACCAGGCATTAGCGCCTGGGGGAGGACTGGCTTGACTAGTAGGATTGGAACTGGCCTGAGACAGGTGGCAGAGGGGGTCCCATACCCCAGCCCTGTCCCACAGGCAGTTGCCCAGGTGGAGGGGTGCTCGCAGGGTCACTGGGCAAGGCTTAACTAGCTTCCTGAAGTGGCTGGCATCTCTTGAGTGTCCCTAACCAACCCGGAGCCCTCTGGGGGCAGGGGGACATGGCCCTCACTCGTGCAAGGGGCAGCCAAGGCCTCAGCCCGGCCTTCCCAGTGGGGAAGGGTATCCTGAAGAACCTGCCAAGAGGACGGGAACATCTGACAGTCTCCCTTTAGGAGGAGGACCTCAGCATCTAGGGGAGCTGTATCTGTGCCATCTCTGTCGGGGCCAGTTCATGCATATGCAGTGAGCAGGATCTGGAGTCTGGGGGCGTTGAAGGAGCTGTGTGACTGTAACAAGTCACAGGACAGGTCCTGGAGCTCCTGCTGATCCCTTGACTCCAGCCACGGGCTCAGCGGAGGATGGGGAAGGAAAGTGCTGTGTCCTGTGTCCCTCCCCCATCCTCTAGCAGGGGAACATCCAGAGTCTGACCAAGGTCTGAGAAGGGGAGGGAGCGGCTCCTACCCTCCCACAATGCCCTTAGGCAATGAGCTGCCTCCCAAGCAGACACATTGGCCCAGAGGAAGAAGCAAGGAGACCCCAGCATACATACCACACAGAACGACACGGAGGCCTTCATCACTGGTGCCCGGCCCCGAGAAGTGTACACGAAGATCACTGCACAGAATAGGGGCCGGGTGAGGGCTGCCGTTGGGATCGTGGGCACCAGAGCTGGCCAGCATCAGGGATGGATGCCTGAGCCAGACCGCAGGGGTTAGGGAGGGCTTCCTGGACAGGGGTGGGGGTGGGCGTACACCTGAGCAGAGTCCTAAGGTAGAGTCAATGGTTGTTAGAAGGGTAGTAAGCTAATCACAGTAGCCTGGCACAGTTCTAAGGCTTTACATGGACTCTTTAATGTCACCACAACCCCTAGGGAAGGTGTTACCATTTTCCCCAGTTGATAGCAAAGGATACTGACGCACAAGGAGGTCAGCCCCGTAAGCTTCTGGAGCTGATCACCCTGCAGGGGCAAGAACCCCACACATCCAATCCACCCTGGGTGCGGGCTGAGACCAGCCTGGGCCAGCCACTGAGTTGGTGCCCGCATGAGGCTCAAAGAGAATGGCTCAGAGAAGCAGATGGGGGGTTGGCTCTGCAGCTGACTTGCACCTGAGCCCCAGATCGGTCTCACTGGTGGGATCCGCTTCTCAGAGCCTCAGATCCTCATTTGCAAATGGGCCTGCTCTGACCTTATTGGGCCTTTGGGGGGATCCCAGAACTCACTCCCTGAAGGGCGTGGCTCACTGAAATTGCCCAGAAAGAGAGCCACAGATGCCTCGCTCCAGAAGCCCAGAGCAGCAGGGCTCACATAGCAGGAGTTGTGCCCCGGGTGACCCCACGCAGCGGGGTCTGCAGGGAGCCCGGCATTTGGGGATGGCAGGCTCGATAGAGGGCTAGGGAGGCCTCTTGGACCTGGCGCTGGACAGTCCAAAGCCAGCTCCGCCCTGTATGAGGGTGGTGGCAAGGGAGGGTGCCTGGCACGACCTGCCCACAAAATGAGAGCAGGAAGCTGATGGAGCTTAGACCAGCACAAGGGCCTGGGGTCAGCTTCCCGAGTGCCGCCAGGGCTACTGGGAGAGAGGCTATGGGCAGGGGGTTAATTCTCTCAAGTCTCAGCGTCCTTTTTCATTTCTTGGTGTGCTGTTGCTCAAAGTAAAAACACATAGAGAGTATCCCGTGTGTCTGTAACTGTGTTTTGTGTCAGTTGTATGTAGGGTCTGTATGTTTTGCATTGTATGTCATTTATGGTGTGTGTTTGTTGTGTTGTGTATGCTCAAGCACTGTGTGTGTGCACGTGTGTTGTGTATATGTGTATATGTGATGTGTATACTGTGTTCGTGGGTATATGCAAGGCTCAGGGAGCGTGGGCAGTGCCTGTGGAGTGGGAGTGGGGTGACTGTGGGCTCACTGGAGGTGGAGAGGGAGAGGCGAGGCTGGCCACTGCATATGGGGGCTCAGAGGAGGACCCCCACTGCGGGCCATCCCGCCCGGAGCTCCTGAAAGCAGGGACGGGCCCCGTGGCAACGGAACGTATTTGGGGTTCGAATCAGCCTGAACCAGGCTGTGACCTTGTCCAGCTCAGCGGTGGTGCCCGAGAGGCCTTGGGTGGGGATGGTGTCCAAGCCACACCCACAGCTCCGCCAGGTCTCACCTGTCAGTGCGGGAACCTGAGCACCCAGGCCTGCCGCACCTGCCGGGGGTGCAGCCAGGGAGAGTCTTCACGTGAGGCCTCTCCCCAGCCCAGCCTTTTAACTTGTCCTTGCCCCTCTGCTCTCTAAGCACCTCTCTCCTCCTCCTACCACTTTGGCTCTGGGCAGGGACCTCAGTGTTCTCATCTGTGAAAGGCAAGTCCAGCCCACCAGCCGCCCACCTGCCTGAGGGCTGCGGAGTTCCTCCTCAGGGCCCCAGGGACAGGTGGTGCTGCTCGGGAGGGGCCACGGGCACTAAGCTGGACAGACCAGGCTGCCCCCCTCCCCGCCTGGCCCACTTGCATTAGATCCTCAGGGCCCCAGTCCTTGGCCCCTTTGACAACCCCTCCCTTCCTTAAAAAGTTCTGCTCCCCGGCTCCACCGGCCACCCCCCACCCCTCAGGGAAATATGAACAGCTCCCCCCCATCCAGATCTGGGCGATGAGCCTGGAAGCCTCAGCACAGAAGCTGAGAGGCTCAGAGGGGCTGCGTTCTGTCTCTGCATCCTATACCCTCCTGCTCCATCATGGCCCTACTGCCCAGGCCTCTCTGACCTGACCAGGAGCTCCCTGAAAAGTGCAAGTCAGATTTACCTCCGGGCCCCTCACAGGCCCAGAGAGGCTGGAATGCCGGTGGCACTCCCTGCCCGATGGCTGGCCGGCTGAGCGGATGGTGGCCTGTAAGTCTGTCTGCCCAGCTGGCAGGGGCCTTCCTCGAGCTCACCCGACCCCGCCGTGCCTGGGGCAGGGGGGCTGCTCCACTAGGTGCTCGCTGAGCTAACCGGGCTAATGCTGAGGGCTAACATTTATTGGGCGCTTCCTGAGGGCCAGCACTGCTCTAGCACTTGACACTTTTTCCGCTCAGTGACTCCCGCAGAGGGATGCTGATGGGGGATGGAGCAGCCTTGGTCTCACTGACGGCTGGTGCCCGCAGACGTGACAGGGACCCCTGGCATGCAGCTCCACAGCAAAGCTCTCAAGGCTGCCCGTAGAATCTGTAAGTTGAGACAGTTGTCTTCATGCCCACAGTTGGCCTAAGCAAGGACTGAGCGCCCAGTTGACCTCTGCAAGATGCCAGTTAATCAGCTGACCCCAAAATGAGCAAACAAGATTTACTATGCCTGACTGCCCACTCTCTCTGGTGTAAATCCTGTTTTATCTTTGTGGAATGAAACCAATCTATTAATACGCGTCCCTTGTACAGAAGTAAAAGGCAACCTAATAATGAGCTAAATGTCTTCGAGCTGTTCTCTGACACATACAACAGCCGCCCTTGAAGGAGGTTTCTGTTCTTGTCCCCATGTTACAGGTGAGGACATGGAGGCTCAGGGAGGTTAAGCAACTCGCCCAAGGCCACACAGCTGATGAATGGGGAAAGAGATGTGGCCCTGGCACCCCCACCTATTCAGACCTTGTGACTTGAGGCTCTTTCCTCTCTCAGATGCAGCCCTGAGCCAGGAAGGCAGGCCAAACCACCCTCGAGTGGTTAGGGTGTGGGTTATGCCACCGTGCGTTTCCCTGAGGAGATCCCTGCCTCTCTGCCCATCCCTGAGGAAGGACAGCTGGTCCTCTGCCTGCTTCTCCCTCCCAGGGACTCCCCTGAGGGCCGGAGCCTGTCCCCGCCCACACTCAGATCCCCTGTGGGGCTCCCCCATGCCTACAGGGGAAGGTACGGACTACTCGGTCTGGTGTCCCGACTCTGCGTGGGGCCCACGCCTCACCGTCACACGCTGCCCCCTCCCGGCACGGGAGCGCTCAGTCCCTCTAGCTCTGCCTGGCCAGCTCCTTTCACAAGGAATCAGAGAAAAACTCTTCCCTTCCCGGGACCCTTAGGACCCCCTCAGCATCGCTGCTTCATCCCAATGGCCTTCACTACACCTTGCCAAGGGACCTCTAGACCTGCGTCACTCCAGGCAGGGGCAGGGGCGTCCTGGCTGGGGGCCACCAGTGCAGAGTACCTCCCAGACCCCACCCCTGAGGCAGGGCCCGAGCAGACAGGTCCCAGGAGCCCCAGGTGGCTTCCCTCCGGGACGTCTCCGCACGGCACGCGCCTGCACCTGTGAGTCACTCTGCTAGTGACCGGTCCGTGTGTGTGCGAGTGTGAGCACATGCCCGTGTGGAGGGCCTGTGAATGCACAGCCGGCACTGTCTGGGGGTGCGTGTATGCCCCGTACAGCTGTGTGCTCCTGAGTCTAGGTATTTCTGCGCACCTGCGGCTTTGTGGGCGCCTGTGCACACACAGGTGACCAAGAGGTCTGGTTGCTATGTGTGGCTGTGGGTGACTTTCCTTAGGGCTCCCCTTTCCCAGAGCCGTGAGTGTGCGGAGGTGGGGGTGATGCTGTGACAGTTACAGAGGGACGTGGGGTCTCACCCCTACGCAGCCGTGAGGGAGGAGCACCACGCCTTGGCCTGGACTCACTGTCTCAGACCCTCCAGCCTGAAGCTCCTGCCCAGCACTCTGCCCCACCCCCAAACAGGCACCCACTAGCTGCAGCTTTGTGGAAGCAAATGGAGGGGACTCCCAGAGCAGCTGGTTGGGGGTAGGCACCCCCACCCTGGCGAATCGCTCAACCGAGAGGACCCTGCTTTTGTAGTCAGGCGGCCCAGGGTTAAATGTTAGCCCAGCTTCTTTCCATAAGCCTCAGTTTCTTCATCTGCAAAAGAGGGGGCCAAATCCCTGGGTTACTAGGGGACTAGGCAGGGTCAGGTTTCCACGGTAGATGTTCACTCACTGGGACCTGTGGCGATCGTGAAAATAATCAATATTATTACAAGTCTGAGGGTCTGCGGCTAAGGAAAAGCCCTGAAGAGAGGGCTTGACAAAGTGGCTGGGAGCACGTGCCCCCAAGTCTGTGAAGGTTGGGGGATGGCCACAGAGGGAGCCATAGAGGAGGGAGCTGGGGGAGGGTGGGGGTAATGCCCTGGTGAGGCAGGTGGGTGGGGCTGCGGGAGGCTCATCCTGGGCGGATGGAGCCCTGTGGGCATGCAGGGCCTCCCAGCTAGGCCTGAGGCCAAGTGGGGCGAGAGCGCCTGACCCAGGGGCTGCATCTGTCTGTCCACAGCTGGCTTATCGTCCCAGAGCTCTCGCTGGTGCTGAGCAGATCGCCGGGCCTCCTCCCCTGCCATTGCCGGGCCTGTCCGGGGTTGCCTCCAGGGCTCTGCCAAGGCTTCTCCTTTGCCCTCCTGGTCTGAGGTGTTGGCTTTGCTCACCCTTGGGGAACCTCTTCTGGGAGAAGGGGTTGAGCTGGTTGCCCAGGTTGGCTTCTGGGAGCAGGTGCAGTCCTCTCCGCGCCTAAGGCTGCCCCGTCCCGCCAGGCTGACACCGGGCCACCATCCTAGTAGTGTCCACCTTCTGCTGCCGCAGGGCCTGCAGAAAGACCCCTTTCACCTGGCCCAGGGTCTCGTGGTACATTCGGAAATCCTCCTCCTTCCCACGCAGGGCACTGCCCAGGGCAGCCTTCAGCATCTCGTTTTCCTCCACCTGGATGGCCAGCCTGGGCCACATGAAGAAAGGGCTCAGTGCGGCCCACGCGGGTACGCGTGTGTACAGGGGTGCTGGGAATGGGGCAGCCAGCGAAGCTGCTCTTGAGGCTGGGGGGATCTCTCTGACCCGTCCCCTCCTCCCACGGACCCTGGGGGAATACCATGTGGGATTCCTCTCTGGGCCCGCCCACAGCCCTGGGCCTGGCACCCTGTAGCACCCCCAAATGCTGGCTGCCTCGAGGATAAGTACTAATCTGTAGGGGTCCCTCCATCCTTCCTTGAACATCACTGCCTTTGACCCTGAAAGTTTAACTGGGTGAGAAAAGTGGCTTCAGCAACCCAGGCTTAGTCCAACTCTGGGAACTCGGAGGCCATCGGAGACACGGCTGGGTCTCTCTGCCCTCTGGCGGCCAGCTGCTGAATTGCAGGCCTAGACCCCAGGACCCAGCAGCCAGCCCTCTGGGCCAACAGAAGTCAAACCGGGAGGGACAAGGTCCTTCTGCCCATCAGAGTACCTCCGCTCACACAATGCCACCCTCCGGAAGATGGGGCAGGAGAGCACCTGGTGGTCAGCTCCTCCATCTGTGATTCCATGGGCACATTGGAGAGCTGGGTGAAGGATGGGTCCTTCCTTTCACTCCCGTTCGGGTTGTGCCTGGTGCTGGAGGTGGGCAGACCTGTGGGGCGGTAGCAGCCGCTTTCTGTGATGAGGCTGTGGCCCCGTATCAGTGCTTTCCTCCCCTCTCCACCCCACTGCCTAGTTCCTGCTTTTCTGCTTGCTGAAACATTATACTTCCTTCAAGATGGGGGACAAGGCATAGCATACCAAGTTGTCAAATCACTGTGTTGTACACCGGAAACTAACACTGTGTGTCAATTATACTTCAATTAAAAAAAAATTTTTTTTTTTTTAAGATGCAGGACAAAGCCTGCCTCCCTCCCTGATGCCGGCTCCGCATTCCCCTGGACTCACGCTGTAGTCTCTGCTACAGCCCTGATTATGCTTGCTTTGTACCAAGGTGGTTCCTCTCGTTACTGTCTCCATCTTCACAATTCACAGTGAGTCTAGATCATCACCGCCTCTGATGCCCTCTTACCACTGAGTAGCCCCTGCCTCCAAAGCCTACCTTGACCAGCAGCTCCCTACATACATACAGAGAGTCCAGCGGGGCCAGGGCCAGAGGCCACAGAACACTCAGAAAAAGAAATCAAAGGCAACTGGTGGGAATTTGGGCACAATCCAGCGTCAGAAAACCTGTGCTGAAAAGGCCCTCAGAGGTGGCGTGGCTCTCAGGGATGGTGTGGCCCAGGAAAAAATCACCTGGCATCAGTAGACTTGGCTTTCACCCCCTGCTGTGTGGCCTTGGGTAAACCATCAACCTCTCTGAGCTGGTCTTCTCATCTGTAAAATGAGGATAATAGTTCTTGCCTCTAAAGCTTTCTGAGGCCTGGGTGAATTCACATTTTACCTCAAGGCTCCGTGTGATCGGACCACCTCCGCAGTATTCTGTCACTTTTCTGACCTTGCCTCATACTCCCCTCCCCTCACCACGTGCCAGCCTCACTTGCTGTTCCTTGCTGTTCCTTCCTGTTCCTTCAAGCCTCCCGCCAGGCTCTCACCGCAGTGCCTTTGCACTTGCTCCTCCCTCGAGTGTCTGTATGCCTCCCTCCCTGCCCCTCCCACTGTCTCTGTGCAGATGTCAACTCCTCAGGGGGCTCTTCCCTGGCCTCCTGGAAACCAGCTGCTCTCAGCACACCCTATCCGCTCCTCTGCTGCGAACCCCAGCACCTGCCTCCATCTGACTTAGCATGTCTTTTACTGGTTTTTTGGTAATTACCCATCTTCCCCACTGGAGTGGAACTGCTGTGGAGGGACCAAATTCCAGACTCAGGTCTCTTCATTCTACAGATGGGGGTGCTCTACTCCCTGAAGCAGTGGTGCTCTGCCCACGTCACAGGCCAGCAGGTGGCAAAGGCCACATGGACACTTTTTCTCAGGCCGCTGCTCTTTGCTGTCTAGGTGGAAAAATATGGTTTTTCCTGCCGTGGCCGAGCACCCCCTGGATGGGTTACTCAGGTCATAAGCCCAAGGCCTAGAGACAGCACATTCCTAGGGGACCCATTCTTGAGGGCCCAGCAGGGCTAGGTTATAGGGACCTTCCTCAGCCTGGATTCTCAGCAGCAACTGGAAGGGCCCTTGAGTTCTGGGCCCTGCTGGTGGGAGAAGGGAAAAGGGCACAACTCCTGCTTTGTGCCTCATTCCTGGCACATCCTTCTGAAATGTTCTGATCTCATCTGGGCTGGGGACAAAGGTCTGAGTGTCCTCACTAGGGAAGGGGGTGGGGGATATACTGGGGTGTTGCGAGGCAGGGCAGTAGGGGGAACACCTCCACTCCAGAGCCTATGGGGGTTGGGATGGGGACGTCAGAGGGAGGCAGGCCTAGCCCCTCCATACTAAAGATTCTTCCTTCCTTCGCTTCTGGCTCTGGCATCCCATGCACCCAGCTGGCCCCAGACACACAAGATGCTGATGCTGCTGGTCCAGGGACCACACCTGAAGAATCACTCTGTGAGGGGCACCTGGGTGGCTCAGTCGGTTAAGCATCTGCCTTCAGCTCAGGTCATGATCCCAGAGTCCCGGGACTGAGTCCCACATCGAGCCCCATATCAGGCTCCTGGCTCAGTGGGGAGTCTGCTTCTCCCTCTCCCTCTGTCCCTCATCCTGCTCTTGTCCTCTCTCTCACTCAAATAAATAAATAAAATCTTTTTTTAAAAAAGAATCACTGTGTTAGAGAATAGATCTTTTAGTTCAGGACAACAAAATCTCCATCTGCAGCTAGGTGTGGTCATGTGACTAGGATCTGCTCAGGGGATGAAGGCAGAAGTGACACGAGCAACCTTAGGATCATGCCCTTAAAAGGTGAGGAGCAGGTTGTCGCCTGCCCTCCTCCCCTTCCTGCTGCTGGTGGGGAAGCTATAGCAGCCATCTTAGACCATGGCGGCCGCAAGTTGAGCACGGTGGAACACAAGACAGAGAAGCCACTTCATCCCTGCTTACTTCATCCCTGCTCAACTGCTGCCAGAAGCAGAGAGGGATTCTTCTGGTCAGCCACTGCCATCCTGGCTTCCTCAGCAGGCCAACTTTGCCCCAAGACCAACTCTAAACAAAGTCAGCTCGGGACAGAGGGTTAAGCATTGGGGTGGGGCTGGTAACTGGGGCTATTAAGCGGAGGCACTGCCACCTCATATAAAGGTTTGCAGGTGTCTGGGTCAGGGCCACGTGGGGCCTTTGGGGCTCCTAGTTCTGAGTAGGAGGCCAAGGAAAGAAGACCCTCCAGCAGCATGGGCAGGCAGAGCTGCATCCTGATGGAGGCCTCTGCTTCCCACATTCTTCTCGAAGGGACTGAATTGGTGCTGCTGACAGGCTCCTCCAGTAGCAGCAAGGCCACCCCCCTGCCACTGGGGCCCCTGGTCCAGCCCCTACCTGTTTTGCTCCTGGGGGCTGCTCTCTGACTGACTGACGGCCTCCCAGGCTCCAGGCGCATCTTCTCCAGATGTTGCTCCAGCACCACGCTGCGTTGCCGCTCCTCCTGCAGCTTCTTCTCTGATTCCAGAAGCTTGCTGTTGCTCTCCTCCACCCTGATGATTAGACAGGAGGGGCTGCCATACCCCAGGGCAGGCAGGAGCAGCCCCCACCCCAGCGGCTCTGGCTCTCAGAGAGGCAGGCGCATCTTACACTGGTGGTGGTGGTGTGACTTGTTCTTTGTTTTTACTGCGGGGACATAGGAACATGTGTTTAAAAGTCACATAGTTCTCTCCAAGGCTTAAAATGGAAAGCTTGCCAGCCACTCACACTCCTCCCCAATCCCATTTCCGGCTCTCCAGAAGCAATCATTCAGAACACTTTTAGCTGTTTCTTTGAATATTTACTGCCATATTTCTACAGATGCCCATACTGCTATTTTTTAAGGCTTAAATATAATCTTTCGACTTCCTGTCATGCAACACGAGAATGTAGCTTTAGTTTAGCCCTCTTCCCTTACCAAACAGAATCACCCCTCCACCTCCTAATGTAGTTACATACCATTTTTCAGCTGAATTAATAGTAGGGGGTGTATTAGTTTTCTATTGCTGCTGTAACAAATTAGCCCAAACTTAGCAGCTTAAAACAACATACATTTATTATCTCACAGTTCTGGAAGTCAGAAGCCCAGCAGGCTCTGTTGGTTTGTCTGCTCCAGGCTCCAAAAGCCAAAATCAAGGTGTTGGCTGACCTGGGCTCTTACCTGAAGGTTCTGGGGGAGAATCCACTTCCAGGCTCACTCAGGTTATTGAAAGAATTCAGTCCCAGTGGAAGGACTGAGGTCCCTGTTTCCTGCTGGCTGCTGGCTGGGTTATTTTCATCTTTTAGAGGCCACCTGGCCCGCTCCATCTTCAAGGCCAACCAGACACCCTTAGCATGCTTTGAATCTATCTGACTTCCTCAGCAGCATTTCTCTGGCTGACCCCAGCTGGAGAAATTTCTCTGCTTTTAAGAGCGCAAGTGATTAGATTGGGCCCACCTGGTAATCCAGGATAATCTTCCTATTTTAGGGCCCATAACTATAATTACATCTGCAAAGCCCCTTTTGCCATATATCATAAAGTATTCACAGGCACAACAGCAGGGAGCGAAGGGCATGGGGGACAAAATCTTGTCTACCACAGGGAGTTACATTAGAACAATTACCCAGACATGGAGCGTGGTAATGATGACATTTTCTTTCTTATTTATTTTTATTTTTTTGCTTTTCTCGGAGTTAGTGATTGCTTTCTGTTTATTATTATTTATTGTTACTACTTATTATTATTTTCTATATGCCCATGATGAACTCATGGGACTTGAAGACATTGCCATTCGGCCATTTCACATGAAGGGTTAGTTTAATCTCAGTGGGGCTGGGGCTAAGGTCTCTCCTGTGGCTAGGTATGGCATTCCAGACTTCTGTGCTACAAAAGGCTCAGCTAGAAGGCCAGGACTCCTTGAAATTTAACCTAAACAAATGGTTGCATACACACATGCAAATCAGAGTGGAGGTCTGGAAATTTATAGTGTTGGAGGAAGTGGTCTTCCACTTCAGTGCAGAGTCAAAGAAGGAGCAGAATGTGTGACAATTTTGAACAGCATACAACTACTAACACAAAGCTGTATACTAACACAGTTATACAGCTACTAACATGACTTGTTCAAGCATGTTCCTTGAAACTTTATTTGCAAAAGCAAAAAAAAAAAATCTACAGGTCCATCAATAGAAGAAATACAGAATAAGTGGTAAATATTCATATATTCATTCATACCATGGTAAATATTCATACCATGGAATGTGATAGAACATGACAGTGTTCAACACAGTGGCTGCCAGCCTCATGTCCACAGGTAGCTATTTCAGTTGAAATTAATGACAATGAAATAAAATTAAAAATTCAGTTCTTCAGTCACACCAGCCACATTTCAAGTGATCCAAGCCACATGTGGCTAACGGCCACTGCATTGGACAGCAGAGCTCTAGAACACCTCCATCATCACAGAAAGTTCTGCTGGACAACCCTGCTCTGGCAATGAGAAAGAATGAGGTAGAGCTACATGTATAAACACAGATCTCCAAATCATGGGATTGGAGAAGAAAAACAAATGTCGCCAGAATGCATACAATATGATGCCATTTATGTAAATGAAGGACAAATACATCATAGTGGATTAACACAATAAAAACACTCCTTAACCATAAAAAGAATCTGTACTGAGCTGAAGAGGATGTCTGAGATATATTATTGAGTGAACTAAGTAGCAGAAGATTATGCATAATATATGACCTAATTAAAAATTTTATAACAGATTAAAAATTTAAAAACAAATAGATACCCGTGCTAATGAAACTCAGCCAACGAGCTACAACAGGGATGTGCAGCAGCAGCTACTGACTAGTCAGCTGGGGTGAGGGGCTTTCATTTTTCTGTCGTGTATTTCAGCAATGTTTGCGTTTTGTTGAGGTTTGTTATCTGTTTGCGCTAGGGGAAATAAGAAACTAACGGCAAACACCGTATCAATGCTAAAGCACTCTATGAATTCTGACAAAATTTAGGAGCAACCAAACTTTTGGTTTCTTCTCCCAAAATGTGCCTTCCTCATCTTGATAAATGTCACCACCACCCATGTAGTTGCCTGGCCGAAATACCCGGGTGGCATCCTTGCCTTCTCTCTCTTCCTTGCTGCTTTCAGCTTCCAATTTATCAGCAGGCCCTACGGCTTTTCCTCGAAACACATACCAGAGTCAACTCATTCTCAGTGCTTCACCTGGAGTGTGGCCTGGTCTGGAACCGCTCCTCCGCGGGCCTCCACAGCTTCACTTTCTACTCAAGACTTCCCGTTGGGATTCTGATTATTCTCTTTTGACCGGTCTTCATTCTCACGGAGTTTTTTTCTCCTTCGATCCTTAACTGGGCTAATGCAGCTCAATGCTGGTGTGTCATGGCTTTGGGGGTGACGCTAACAGCTATCTCACACCATGTGCATTAACCTCCTGACAGACCAGATTTTTTTTTGACTTTGCCTTTTTACTTTGTAATTGATTTTTATTATATTTCAAGAGTCTGACCAAACTGACCCAATGGCAGTGTAAAGTGAACGATATTAAGGAAGGCAAGTCATTAGTGAATATTTTCATGTAAAAATTTTGCTTTTGTAAGGACTCTAAGTGTGGGGATACTGATAAAAAATACTCAGATAAGGAGGTCCCCCTACCCAGGTATTAATTTAATATAAATGATATAAGACCTTTATAAAAAACAAACATACATATTATACTACATATATAATACTATATACATAATTCATAAAGAGCTCTTTATGGATGTAAAGAAAAAATATAAATGACCCCCTAAAAAACGTGCCACAGTTTGAATAGATATTTAACAGAAAAGAACATGTAAAAGGCTATAAACGTGAAAAATATGCTCAGCCCCACTTCTGGTTATAGCAAAGTAGATAAAAACAACTGAGAGAACAGTGTTCCTTTATTAGTTTGGCAAACATGTTATGCATTGATAAAACTTTGTAGAGGTGAGGGTATGGGGAAATGGTAGCCAGTTTACATTATCAATGGGAATGCAAATGGATTCATGTTAAAAGGGCAGTTTACCATTATTTGTGAACATTTAAATGTACACATTCTTCGATCCAGTGATTCCACATTTAGAAACTGACAGTGATACACTCTCATAAAAATGTAAAGATGTGTTTAGTGTGAGTCCATCTTGTAATAAAAATGTAGGTGCGTATATGTGCACATATGTATATGCGCGTACATACATACATTTGCAGATACATTTTTGGATGTGCAAAGAAAACATTTAGAAGTTCTGACAGTTCTTTTCTATGAGGAATGGGGAACTGCAGGTTGGAAAAGGAGGCTTTTTGCAATAAGTAAGTATATGTTTGTAATAGAAAAACTAATAAAACCTCCAATAGCATACAGCAGGAGTTTCGATGCCAATGTGAGGGCAGAAGCTGTAAACCTGGACTCCTATTAGGCAGCAAGCTGCAAGGAAGCTCTCTGCGTGGTTCTGGAAGCCTCAAGAGTGCCCTGTTGCAATAAAAGACTGAGACATCCGTAAACCAGGGAAGTGGTAAGGAAACCTGTAGTCAACCAAGGCCTTAAGTGTGGGAGGGAGGAAGCACCGATCATGAGAAAAATGAAACACAAGCCCAGCACTCATGTGCTCATGAAACCCTAAACCAATAAATTAGCATAAAGTACCAATCAGAGGCCACTGAAACCCCCAAAGCTCCACAGAGACAAAAGCAGAACCATTCCATAGGAACATTTTCGTAACCTGAGAAGTCCCACAGAAAAAGACAAAAAACCAACAACACTGAAGACAAATTCACAGAAATAACACAAAAGTACCAACCACATAGAGAAATCATTCACCGTGAGGGGGAGTCAACAGACATTACTTAGGATCCAAGGTAATGAAGATGATAGAGCAACTCTAAAGGGATGAAGTAAGTTTAAAATTATTACAAGGAGAAAAGCAAGAAGTCTTCATGAAGAAGACTTCTTTTTTACACAAAAAAGAACTGCTAGAAATGAAAAAAATACAGTTATTAAAATAGGTTTCATGGCAGATGAAGTGCAACTGAAGAGATTTAGGGAGCAGATTTGAAGATCTGAAGAAACCACGCAGTTATCAGCCCAAAATATCACAAAGGTTTAAGAGCTGCAGAGGAAGGAAGAAGAAGGTCTAACAGGGGCTGACTAGGCATTTCAGATGGAAAGAACAGAAACAATGGGGAGAGGCAACATATTGAGAGATGTCCTTGGCAATATATAGATTGAAGTCCTCGGAATGAAAAAGCACACCAATTACTAAGTAGGAGAAATACAATGAAATAAAGTCCCTAGACCCATCACAGTGAGACTTCAAAATACCAGACTAAAGGAATATCTGAAAAAACATCTAGAGAGAAAGGACATAACTATGAAGGAACAACAACCAAACTGATAGCAGATTTCTTTTTGGCGACAGTGGACGCTCAAAGACAATGAGCTCTCGGGTGCCTGGGTGGCTCAGTCGGTTAAGGGACTGCCTTCGGCTCAGGTCATGATCCTGGAGTCCCGGGATCGAGTCCTGCATCGGGCTCCCTGCTCGGCGGAGAGCCTGCTTCTCCCTCTCCTTCTGCCTGCCTCTCTGCCTACTTGGACTCTCTCTCTCTCTATCTCTGTCAAATAAATAAATAAAATCTTTAAAAAAAAAAAAAAGACAATGCGCGAGCTATCATAGCGTCCCGGGGCTGAGAGAAAGTACCTGACCATCTAGAATTCTACACCAAATGAAATTCTCCTTCAAGAGAAAGGCAAAATAAAGATTCCAGAGTAAACAAAGACTCGGGGAGATTACCATCCACATGGTCTCGCTGAACTGAAGGATGCCCTTCAGTAAGAAGGAAGCTGAACCCAGAAGGGAGACTGAGAGGCAAGAAGCAAGAGTGAGGGAAGACATTTTTAAGTATGTTGGCCAAAGTAAATGAATACTGCCTAATTTTTTAAAAGATGAATTTGGAGGGTTAATTTCAGAGGGTTTAGAAAGAAGAATGCAATATTAGAGAAATATTAGAAACCAGTGACATGAAAGACACAAGTAGGGGAATCAGAGTTAAACATTGTAAACATGTTGGGGCACCTGGCTGGAGAAGCATGTGACTCTTGATCTTGGGGTCATGAGGTTTTTATTATCAAAGGGATAATAAAGAAATCTACAGACTTTAGACTTGCTGAATTCTATGTTAAAAGTTATAGGTAACCACTAAAAGGATAGAGATAGAATGTATAACTTCCAAGCTTGCATGTCAGAGAGGGAGATAAAACCTGACCTAACCAATAGAAAAGATAAAACCTGACCTAGCCAACAGAGAAAAAGGAGCAGAAAAATCATGGCAAATAGAAAATATTAATTGAGATGATCAAAATATTTCCAAATATTACCAAAAATGGATTAAACTCTCCTCCTCAAACACCAAGTCTCAGATTGAGTTTCCCAAAACAAAGCCTAGGGGTGCCTGGGTGGCTCGGTCGGTTAAGGCTTGGTCGGTTAAGTGTCTGACTTGGTTTCAGCTCAGGTCATGACCTCAGGGTTGTGGGATCGAGCCCTGCATCCAGCCCAGGTCGGGCTCCAAGCTCAGGGGGAGTCTGCTTGGGATTCTCTCTCTCCTTCCCCCTCTGCCCCTCCCCCTTCTCTCACGCATGCGTTCTCTCTCTCGCTCTCTCTCTCAAATAAATAAATGAAATCTTTAAAAAAAATAAAAATAAAGCCAATCATATGCTTTTCAAAAAGAGACATGTTTAGCGACCTCTGTCATGGCGGACTAAGTGAACTAGCCCCTCCTATTGTAAACAACTAGAAGAGTGGACAAAATATGAGAAAGAAGACACAGCAATGTTCTCAGACACTGGACAACAGGATGAGAGGCACAGATGCTCGGACACAGGCCTTGAGAGAAGGGAAACAAAGACGAGCTCTACTGTTGTTTTTAGTCGGACTGCACCAGGTGAGGGGTGAGGGGATCCCACGCAGAGCACAGCGGTCCCACCAGGATAAGTACACAGGACCGGGGACGTGGAGGGCCCTGAGGCCGCTGGAAGGGGCAGGGCAGAGGACGAGAGGGGGAGGCTCTGCCTCCCTGATGCGAGACTGGAACAGACCCCCCAGAAAAAGAAAGGAGTAGATACTGGGGATCTCTGAGAAGGGCAGGTCCTCTACTTTGGGGTGAGAAATCCCAACAGGTTTGGGGGCATCCGAATACTTTCCTTGTGTGAGCGCTGCGGGACAGCAATGCCCCAGAGCAGAAAAGGCTGTGTGTCTTGGCTAATGGGCCTGGGACAGCCTCCGAGAGCTAGCTCCCCCATACCCTAAAATGACACAGAACAGCAGAGTGAACCCAAAAGGGTCAAGCTAAGAGAAAAGCACACACGCGTGACTCATAGTGAGTGCCTTGCTTGCCTCACACGAATCCCAGCTCTGCACAGGGAGGCCCTGGAAGAGGAAATCGCACGGGCAGAGAGAGACCAGTAAAGGAGAACCGAGGCATCCTCTGCCGAGCTTCCAGCGGAACCGGGCCATGTGAGTGATGGAGGCGTTCTGTGGAATCGAAACCCCGAGGTAACCCACGGAACCTCGGGAAAGAATAAACCATCGTGTTTGAAGCCATGAAGCGTGGAATGGTTTGTTACACAGCAATGCATAACGGAGTCACCTTGGTTCACGAAACCCCCCAAAACTCAGTGCCACTCGAGGGAAATGGGAGTGCGTTTCTTCCATTTGGTAGACTGGAGGCTTGTACTATCCACGACGCTTTAGTTACAGAAAAAGAATTAATGTTACATTTCTCTTTTGTCTGAGGATGTCTGAAATTCATATCCTCTTCACGGATTACATGAAAAGGAAAAAAACACTGAAAGCTGGTCACTTCTCACTGCTTAGGTACTGGCCACTTCCCAGCACCCCTCACTCCTTCTTTGGTAACTGTACTCTGTTTTTCCCTTTGGCAAGCTGCCCCTCCCCCATTCTATGAGCACCTGCAGGTACTTCCAGTCAAGGTGCCTGGCCTACGTCCAGGGATGGACCTGTGAGCAACCCAGGCCAGCTAGACCTTCTCTCCCAGAACGTGCTGGCACAGGAAGTGGAAGCCATTGGGCCAGCGCCCCAGGAGAGACCGCCAAGGGTTCCTGCTACCGCATCCAGCCCCCAAGATTCCCAGACTTCCTTGGGCTCCTCTCCTGCCCCGTCCCTTGAAGTAGGCCAGCACCTACCAAAATCTGCCTTTCCCTTAACTTAGCCAGAATCGGTTTCTACTGCCTGTCACCAAAGAGCCCTGGCCGCATGCCCCGGTAGGGCAGGAACTCAGTGGTGTCCTTTATATTTTTCAGTGTGGAGGTCACGTGGTTGGGCCATGCGTTGGCCTGAGTACCTGCAATTCTTGCCAAAAGGGCCACTTGAGCGAGGAGCACTGATTTATCTGAATGGAAGTCTGTCAGCAGCCCCTTGGAGAAAACTATGCCTCCTGGCCCACTGCCTTGGGCCACATGCTGCCCACCCCCTTCCCAAAGAAGTCTCAGCTGCCATCTCCGAGCAACTCTCTTGCCCTTTGTAATTCCAAAGTCCTTCTAGCCTTTGTCTTCCCCTCAACTCCCCGAGTGCCCTGAAGAAGGTGCCGAGTTCATCAGATTTTAATTATTTGTGGACTGATCTGACTGCTTTAACTACTCCAGAGAGCCTCTCCCCTGAGACTCCCACCTCATGTCCACATGGATGCAACAGTCCCATTGAATACACGTAGGGCAGGGCAAACCACAGGTGTGACAATAGGGCCCCAAGGCTGTGGGACACCTAGGTGAGCACCCGAGTGGTGACTGGAAATACCCTAGACCGACACCGTGGAAGCCGAACTCTCCAGGAAGGCGGACCCAGTCATGGATGAGACCGGGTCCCTGCCCAAGAACCATGCCCTTGAGCCAGGCTCTCCTACCCTCAGCCCACACAGGCCCATGAGAGCATGTCCCTGGGTGCCATGCGTTACCGTTTCTGCAGGACAGTGACAAACTCGGTAAGCCGGTCACGCTCCACTTCAGCGGCCTGCCAGAGGGCCTTGAACTCTGTCACCTGTGCCTGCCAGCCTTTCTGTTCGGGGGAGTCTGAGAACCTGCGACCAGGGTGGGGCAGAGGTCAGAGGTCAGAGGTCATTTGAGGGGTTATCAGGAGACATACACTTACTTGTGATGGTGGGAAGGATTAGGAGAACATTCAGGGAGCCTCAGAGGCAGCCTCAGAGAAGGCAGCCAACCCGGTCCTTCCTAGCCCTGCTGGTCCTCCTCCTCTGGCTTCTTCACAGTCCACCATTCCTGTGCTTGTTGAAGTCTCTAGAGCTCACTTAGCTGGCTGCACAGCCAGACCCCACCCAGGCTAGAGCCTGCATCAGTACCTCTGTCCATCCAGTCCCTGTAGGGGCCTGGAATTGGGCTGGCTGCTCTGGAATTTGGCCCGTGAGGGCCTAGGGTGCCCCGGGTTCCTGTGTGGCCGGGGGCCTGGCCACCCTGCCCATTTTTAGGTGGGCCTCGCCTCTGTCTCCCTGTCGGCCTACCCCAGCCTCCTTCGTCTCCTGGCTTGGCCCCACGCTCAGCCCACTCTCCTGGACACTCGGCTTTGTGACTTGGTCGGTTCTCTTCAGTGCTGATCTAGCCGGCCCCTGCTTTCCTCCTTACCACTGGGTCTGCCTACTAGCCCCTTACCTGCTGGCTGGAGCCCGGACAGAGGGGAACTCTGCCCCCCAACCAAACCCCCCAGAGCCCATGTGTGAGTCCCAGGCTGCTCTCTGCTTTGCCCCCACCTCTCCCCCTGAGACCCTGGGGGCCCTGGGTTTGCTTTCCTAGCATCACAGGACACATGGAGAGCTGGGCTGGGGCATGTGAGACCAGAGGCTAATTTGGTCTGGAGTCTGGGCCTGGGTCCTCCCTCTGAACACGGAGGGAGTTGGCTGAGATGGGCCTGAGGACAGCAGACCCCTCTGTGTTCTGACACCTAAATACACTTTAAGGCCTTGCTGCTCAGAGTATAGTCTCTGAGTCAGTGGCTGCGGATCCAGGCCTGCCGAATCAGAGCCTGCGTGCTCCGGCAAAGCTCTGGTCAACTCACCTCCACGATTTGCTCATTGGGTGGGGGGAGGGAGAAGAGGGGGAGCTGCAGAAGAAAGGGGCTCTCCCCTCCCAGACACCCCATCACAGTCACCACGCCAGCCCCAACAGACCCCCTCTCTGGGGTGGCTCCCGCTGGTGCTATCACTGAGGGAAGAGGACTGCATGTTCTGTGGGGGTCAGGCCCGTGCGTGGTTGACTTCAGGAAGCACTTGTGTAGTGTGTGGGAGAGGAGCTTGAGAACCAGCAGTCTGGACAGCTGAGAAGCACAGCTGGTCCTGCTTCCCTGTGGAGCGCACAGGTCACAGACCACGGGCCTGGAAGGGATCTTGAGGACCATCGTGGCCCTCTTCCTGCTCCCACTACTGTGACTCAAACCTCAGAGAGACAGAGCCTGTCCATTCTCCCAGGGGTGCCAGGAGGCCTCCCACTCCTGGAAGTGTGGCGTGCGCCCTTGTGGCTCGGAGCAGCCCACTCTCCCCCAAATGCCCTTGTGACCCCAGGCTGATGGATGGGTGGGGCAGCTGCAGGGCTGGCCTTGGCCCAAGGTCCCCTGTGCTGCCAAATGTCAGGCCAGAAGTGTCTTAGGCCCTCCTTGGGAAGCAGCATCCCAGAGAGGATCAATGCCTGGAGCCATATAGCAAGACGAACACGGACTCGGGCCACTCAGAGGCCTGGCCTGGAACCTGAGCTGACCTGCCTGAGGGGTGGAGATGGGGGCTGACAGCAGGAGCATGGCTCCAGTGGACAGTGGGCAGGGCTCAGGACAGGGCTCAGAGACAGGACAAAGCCACCATTTGTCTGTGAGCTGGCAGGAAGAACAAAAGGCCCATTTAAGCCCTAGGCTTGATTCTAACAACAAAGAGGGGGCCAGAGAGCGGAGGGGATATCAGTGACTTAAAGTGGGAACCCATATGACATGAAATTCTCCCCCTAGAGACTGATTCTCAGTGGGGAAGAGAAGACAAGGAAAGGAGCTGAGCTCTAGGCCCTGGAAGTTTCCTTGTGTTAACTCTGTGGTAGCAGGAAGGGACATTAGACTGCAAGCCAGAGGCCAAGACTCTAGTTCAGTAGCCACTTCCCCTATTAACTTGGATAAGGCACTGGGCCTCCCTGATCCTCTATGTCCTTATGCAAACTTGGAAGAGTCCCTGGATTTGGCCTGGCCTCAGTTTCCTCTCCTTTTAATGGGATGGCAGTACTGGCTGAGCATTCAGGGTGGGAAGGACTGTGAGGGCCCTGAGGTCCTGGGTTCATACCTGGGTGAGGCCCCATGAGGACCGGGCAGAGAAGGCCACGTGAGAGCAGATTCCACCAGCGTGTGGCCCAGGCTGGTCACGGAGCTGTGTGAAGGCAGAAGGGGTTTCATCACCACAGGAGGGCAGGCTGGGCCCAGCCTGGGAGGAGAGCAGGGGCCAGCAGGGATCTGGCGAGCCCGAGGAGGTGGCCAGTGCTGGCCCTTGTGGCAACCCTGGCCAGGCAGTCCTGCAGATTTGCTGCCCTTCTTTCTAGAACTCTTGCTGGCTCAAAACGAGACAGAACCAGGAGACATCAGAGCCTCGAGCAATCCAAGACAGGGCTGTTTGAGAGTCCTAGAAACAGGTGTGTTTCAAGGCCAGCTCAGAGAGGCTATTACAGGGAGCTGCAACCAGATGTCTTGCAGAAATAATATCTGGGCCTAACTGGCTCCTCCATGCAGATGCAGGGCTAATGGAATACGAGAGGCCCACATTTTGGAAGGACAACGCTACAGTCATCTTAAAATTGCACCCGTGGCTTCCGAGCAGAGGCAGCCTTTCTTCTGAATAATTAATATTCACTTTCCAACCCCTCTATCCCCCTTTTTTTTTCTTACCGAGAAGATCCAAGCGTGCCAACGTGATCGCCTGCTGAGGCCGGAGACTTGGGCTGGCCAGGGTCCTCCAGGAACTTGGTGTAGGCGGGGCTGACCTCAGTCCCACTGGACCCCTTGCCCACTTCTTTATTCTGAAGATACTGTAGGGAACAGACGTGAGTTCGATTCTCAGCGCTTTGGCTCAGAGGCCTGGAGAAGGCAGGAGGGGGCCTTGGCTGGAGTTCGGGGCTTTTAGGGGACATGAAAGAGGCTTCTTTTGAGGAGTGAAAAGCGAGGCCTGCTTGGGGAAGGCACTCCTTGCATGATAATGACATCTAATAATGCCTCTCTTCAGAAAGGGAGCTACATGGCGTGAGGTGGTGACTGGGCCAGGAAGCTGTTCTACATTCAGGTCCCGAAGGGAAGTGCATGGCCTTTGATTCGGGCCAGATCAGAGACTGATGTCTTTGAGTGGACCCACCTCTCGGGGCAGGCCCCCCCCCCCCCCCCGCCCACGCAGGGTCAATGCCAGGTGTGACTTGAGGCCAGCTGCCTTTGTCAGCTGGAGACACTTGGACTTAGTAGACACCCAGAGCCATAGAGGTTGCCAGGGCCTCAGCAAGGGCCAGCAGTCTAGGGGGGAGGCTGGGCTTACCAGGCCCCCTTCCCTCCTCCCACCTCCTTCTTCCGGATAGCTGGAGAGGCCGGATTGAAGAAGGAGCCCCGGAGGACCCCCACCAGGGGGTCAGGCCACCAGGGGTGGACAGCTGGTGTGAGCCCCAGACAACCTGGCATGTCCCCCAGCTCCACCCGTCCTGAGATGCATGCCTCAACTGTCTGCTGGGTAATGCTTGGCCCCCAGTCGGCTGATGATCTCCGAGGTAAGAAGCGCTTCCCTTTTGTGTGCCTGGAGCCAGGACAGTGGTGAGGTGAAAATACTGGAATGTTCCCGTGTGCTCCTTCAGATTTCACTTCCCAGTGGCAAGCAGGGCAAGGACTGCAAGGCAATGTCCCCACTCACAGCTACACACACTCTGTCCCCAGGCCTTTGTCATAACCCTGGGCTCCCCCTCAGCCTCAGGGACTTCAGCATTTTCCACCACAGCCACTGGGGTCCCAGGGGATGGACAGCTCAGAGACAAACCACCAACTCCAGCCAACACCAGCCTGCGGCTGGAGCTGAGAGGCTCCTGGGCTCCCATGCTTCTGACGGGACCACGGATCCCTGGGAATAAAGGGCAGGGCTGCTCTGTGACATGCCTTAGGCGATACCAGTCTCCCTGGCTATGAGGCTTCTCTGTCACTGTGAGACTTGTGTGCCTGTCAAGGTCACCAAGTCCCCTCCCCTCTGAGCACCCCCACCACAGGAAGGAGCCACAGAGAGCCCACGGGGCCTGACTCCCGGCAGCCCGGGCTGTGCTGGTAAGGCATCTGTCAAGGTCCAACTCTTCAGGGGCTCCCTCATTAGGTGAGCATTTGTGAGCACCTGTACTGGCCTCTCAGCCCTGTGCCAGGCCATGAGGCACCAAGGTATGTGCCGCCTCAAGAGTAGAAGAGGACTTAAGGGGGGGGCAGGAAAACGATCACCCAGGGTGACAAAAGTGTGTCTTGGGGATGCACAGGGTGTTAGGAGAGTGCCCAGGAGGGGCATGGAGCACAGCCTGGGGGCCCTGGGGCTCTCTGGAGGAGCTCATGACTTGGTAAGACCTAAAGGCTGGGGGCCCCCGGCCGGGCAGTGGCTGTGGGGGAGGAAAGGGAAGGCACGTGCTTCAGGCATGTGCACAGCTGCCGTGGGGAGAAAGCAGGGCTATGTGAGGAGCTTAACAGTGGCCATGTGGCCAGAGTGTCGGGGGGAAGGGAGGGGTGAAGAGGAGAGGCGGGGTGGCAGCAAGAGCTCGTCACGTGGGGCCTTGCAAGCTGGCTGGAGTGCAGCTTCCTTTGGGCCATCCCACTGCCTGGAATGTGAACGTAGAGCCTGGCACTGTAGCCGCCATCTTGGATCGTTAGGAGGAGGGCCACGGCTGGGGACGGTGAGGCAGAGCTGGAAGGAGCCTGGCCCCTTGAGGATTGAGTGAGACCAAGGGTGACCGGGAGCCACAGACAGGTTTTGTGCAGAGATGGGAGACAATCAGGAAAGAGAGGAAAGGTATGTGAGAATGTGTGGGAAGCCAGATGGAAGCCCGGGAGCAGAGTGGAGCCAGGGAGGATGTAGTGTGGCCTGAGTGAAGGTAGGTGGACAGCAGTGGAAGTTGCTGAGCTTTGTCTGGATGGTAGATGGACTTGCCAGGGCTTGGAAATGGATGTCAGGCCAGGCCAGCGCCCTGCTCACCTGCACACTGAGTTGGCCAATCTCCAACTCCAGCTGCTGTACCTTGGCCTCCCGCTCAGCCACCATGGCCCGCAGCTGGGTGATGAGGCTGCTGCTCTGCTGAGCCTCACTGTTGACCCGCTGGTCCAGGTGGCGCTGCGACGCCCGGGTCTTCTCCTCCTGCAGACTCAGGCTGCCCAGAATCTCCTGGAGCTGCTTCAGCTGGTCCTGTGGGGCCACGCAGGAGGGCAGACGACAGACAAGGTTAGCCATGACCCCTGGGCAAGGCAGGACAGGGAAGACCGCCTTCCCTCACGCACTCCTTGCTGCTGCAGGAACCTAACAGTGGGACCCTACCTGTTTCTTTGAGAAGCAGGAGGAGAACTTTCCTTGCCTGCCCTTGCGGGACTCACCAGGCAGGTGGGGACCATGCCCTTTTCCTGTCCTCAACTTCCTTCTCTGATGTTGGGCCAAGAAGGACATTGAGGGGGCTCTCGGGACGCAGACAGCATCTCAGATGGTGGGCCCTCTGCCAGTGGAGTGGGGGAGATATTCTGGGAAAAAGAAACCCTGTCCCTCTGCTGGGAGATAGCCTTGAAGGCAGTCCCTGGACCCCCTGCCAGGGATCCCTCAGCACCTGACTGAGGCCCCCTCCCCTGCAGATGCCCCCAGGAGACTGGTGGGATGGAGGCTTCACCCGGACGGCCAACAGGAAGGGCAGGTCAGTGATTGGGAATGCGGAGGGGACTGAGGCCCAGAGAGCCCAAGGGCACAGTGCTGGTGGATGGCCGAGCGGGGGCTTGTCTGCAGCTTTCATCATGCCACCTGCAGTAACACAGAATGGTGGCACACAGCAACCACTGAGGACATGCAGCTCCACACCTTATTTAAAAACTGGGAGCTGAGACACCTGGGTGGCTCCGTCGTTAAACGTCTGCCTTCAGCTCAGGTCATGATCCCGGGGTCCTGGGATCGAGCCCCGCATCGGGCTCCTTGCTCGGCGGGAAGCCTGCTTCTCCCTCTCCCACTCCCCCTGCTTGTGTTCCTGCTCTCATTATCTCTCTCTCTGTCAAATAAATAAATAAAATCTTTAAAAAAAATAGCTAAAAAAAAATAAAAACTGGGAGCTGAGGCTCAGAGAGGGGGTGCCACCGGCCTAGGGTCACCCAGGGAGGTGTCAGCAGAGGCGGGTCTGCTGTGCTCTGCTTACCACCCCGTGCCCCCCAGCCAAGCCAGGCAGGGCCACCCCAGGGGTCTGGGGCACAATTTGGGATTCAAAACCCTAGGGCACTGCAGGTCCTAGAGAGAAAAGTCCAGACTAGGGTCAGGAAAGCAGCGTGGCCTTGATAATCAAGGCAGGCCTTACGGTCAGAGCAACCTGGTTCGAACTCAGTTGTATGGTCTTGGACGACTTAGCTAACTAACTGGAGTCTTAGTTTCCCCATGTGTGAAATGGGATTAGAACAGATGACCCTAGGGTTTGTCATGGCGCCTAACCATGATGAACCACATGCACCCCAAGTGCCCGGAGGGGCTGTATGCTGTCACCCGGACAAGAATTTGTACTGGCCCCTCAGTTGTCCCTTCCATTCCTTGATGGAAAGATGACCCAGGGTGTACTCCCATCTCCTTCCCCCGTGCCCACTTCGTCCTCCTCTGGGGTCCACAGGTCCAGCGGCTGGTGCCAGGCTCTAACACGTCACAGCCAGCACCAACACCATACCACACGACATATATGCATGCTCGGGCAGCCTCTGAGCTGCTCCTGCCCCTGGGGCGTGGCTTTGCAGCTGACGGCCACGTGAGGCCATGAGCTTCTGGATGACGCTGGTGGCCTCTGGGGTAAGCAAGGGCACCCTCTGGCTGGGGCTGGGTCACGGGCTTCCAGGCAGGGTGGGGGGCCCGTGTTGGAGGGCCCGGGCCCTGGCTCCCGCCGGGCCTGAGCGGCAGGGCACTACCATGAGGGCGTCGATGAGCTCGTCGTCATGCCGGCCTTTCTCCACCAGGGTCCCCATCTGGCTCCTGAGGGTTTTCACCTCACTTGACAGCACCTTATTCCGGGACTTCACGCCCTCCAACTTCTTTTTCAGTTCTTCAAGCTCTCTCTGGAGGGCATCCCGCTCACCCACAAGTTTCTGTAATCAGGAAATACAGTCTTGGGCAGTGGGGCTGAATGGGTCCCGGGCTCCCGCTCACAGGGGAGACCCAGTGACAGGAGGGGACTTCTGAAGGCCGGAGAGCAAGGCAGCTCCCAGCCCCCGCCTCTCAGGGGTGTCAGGTGGGGCCCTGCCCTTGCACGTGACAGAGGTCACTAAGAGATGATAGCACTCCTCCATCAGCCCGAGAACACAGGCGTCCAGGCAGCTGCCCTTGCTCTGCCAGGGTCAGAGACGAGAGGAGCCATACTTGCCAACTGTGGGTGTGTCCTCCAGAGAGCATGGCTGTCCCCACCTCTCACTCCCGGCCTGAGCTGGGGAAAGGGCAAAGCCATGCCCTCGTGAGCAGCACTAGGTCTAGGGTTCAAACAGAAGTGGCTCACCCCACCAGGAGCCAGAATGAGAGGGAGGTGCCACCCCGCTGCGTCGCCTCACTTCCTCCACGCACGCCCAGCACATCAGCCCAGACTGCGCCATGCTCGGGTCAGCTACTAACCGGCAACTCAAGTGCTGGGCATGCCTTCGGAGTCTCCCTCCTCCCTCCCTCCCTCCCTCCCTTCCTTCTCAAATATTTCCTGAGGGCCTACTGTGTGCTTAAAACTGTTATAGGTGCTGGGGATAGAGCAGAGAACAAAACAGAGTGTTTGTCCCCAAGGAGCTAACATCCTAGCTGGGGAGACAGATGTTCAATGGTTTACCTGTGACCATTGTTTACCTGTTGCTCTGCTTATTGAAAACTGGGCAAGGGAAATGGAGGGACAATGGCATGGTCAGGGAAGGCCTCTCTGAAAGGTGACATCTGAGAAGAGACTAAAGGAGGTGAGGGGAAGAGCAAAGGCCCTGGGGTAGAACATGTGTGGCTAGAGCACAGTGAGAGAGGGGACAGGTCAGGGGCAAGGTCGGAGGGGGCAGAGTCCAGATTAGGTAAACCGTCAGGAGCCAAGATTGAGACCCTGAGGAGGGTTTTGGGCAATGGGTGACACAATCTGCTTTGGTCTTGAGGGTTAGTTATCATTGGAAAAGTGTTTTTAGATCCCTGTAGAAGGGAATTATAGAATGAAAAATAGTAGGTATGAATCCAGAAGACCACCGATCTTTGCCATAGGCAGCCATTGTTTACCTGCTGCCCTGCTGGCTACATACCCTAGGCTCTAGCAGGCGCCTGGCAGAGGAAAGACACACAGGGGATAGCCTCCTTCCACCTCAATGTGGCTTACAATTGGTTAAATGACTGCAGCATGTTCTGTTCTGTGTGGATGTGTAAGTCTGAGCTAGGGGCACCTCAAACCCAACAGTTTCAAATCTCAGCTCCCCATCTCCCTTGAGTCCGCCCCCTGTGCCCCCCCTCCACTGCTACACTCACTGGAAGCCCTTCACAATCCTTCTGCTTATCTCCCTTCCATGCCGTCACTGAGCCCTGTAAAGTCGACCCTCAAATGTTGCAGGTGTCTGGCCTTTGGCTACAGTCCTACTGCCTTGGCTCAGGTCCCCGGACATGTCTCAAGTGGATTATCGCCTCTGCCTCCCAAGCCTCCTCTGACCTAGCCCCCCCCCCACCACCCCACCTGACCATGTGACCTTTCCAACACGCCCAGGGGTCCACGTCCCTCCATGACTTAAAACACTTTGGTGGTTCTCCACTTCCTTCTAGACAAAAGCCCAAAGCCCTGGCTGGCATACAAGGTCCAGGAGGACCTGGCCCGGCCCGCCGCTCCAGTCCCTCTGTTCTCTCCTCACACCTGATGATCTAGGATGCTGGGGGTGCAACGTAGCGATGGTCACAATGCTCCTAGCACAGGGTCTAGTCCTGAATTGGCACTCGTAAATGGAAGTCTCCTGATGAAAAGGTAAGGCCTCACTGTTAGGAAGCCCACTGCCAGGGCCACTGAAGTGGGCCTTCTCAGCCCGCCAGCACCCCGTCCTGCTTCTTCCTCTATTTTCTTTGAGAAAGCCACGCTCCCCACTCTCACGCCAACTTCTGAGAGGCTGACTCATCTCCCAGACATGGGGAGAAGCCTGGCCGGTCAGAGCGGCCTGGACCCTCAGCTGCAGTGACTGGCTCAGGGACGGGCTCATGGCCTAAGCTAGCTGGGTGACACTTCATTCTGGGACTTTGTTGGAACTACTGGGAAAGAGAAGCCCTTTGTTTGTGGGGGCTGGGCTGGACGATAGAAGCTGGGACTACCGGGAGTTCCCACGGGAGAGAGTGAAGCCGGTCCAGAAAAAGTGGCACCGAGACCAAGTCCCCAGATCCCTGGGTCCATCTGCGCCTAACGCTAGGCCACCTCTAGACCGTTCATCTACACGGGCCCATCAATTCTGTTTGTCGCATAAGCCTGGTAGAGTTTGGCTTCCGCCACCCTGGGCGCAGAATCTGTGAGATGCAGCCAGTGAGACACAGCGCCCACCTTTCAGCAGCCTGGAGCTCTCCTCCACTGAGCCCCACCTAACCCTGTCCCTCTGGGCCCTGGCCGCCTCCTCTCCTTCTACAGTGACAATTTCAGGTCCAGCATCTCCAGAACAGCCAGGATGGGGCCACCCGAAGCTCATGAAATGGGCTGACGACCCCAGTCAGGCAGTTCCAGCTGGACTGACAGGACGTGAGGAAGAGGCACTGAGGTGACCCCAAGTCCCAGGGGTCTCCTGCCTCTAAGGGGTGGCTCAGAGCTCATCCTCACGGCCCTGCAGAGGTGGTCACGATCTCCCGGTCCCCCGTGCCCAACTGACCCCTTCCCTGGACATGCATTACCTCCCAGCCCTCCTGTTTTTCCCTTTCCAGGCTGCGGATCCTCAGCAGGTTTTTCTCCTGTGCCGACAGCTTCCTTGGGTCTGGACCGACAGGCGGCTTGTCACGGGATGTTCCTGCAGACTGGCTTCGGGTCTGTCCCAGCTGCTTCTCAAGCTCGCGAACCTGAGGGTGGTAAAACTCGTCATTCCGCGGTGGGCCTGCCCTCACAGACTCAACCACTCAGGGGCTGCCCTGAGGTGCGACAGGAAGGCCCACTAGACTGAGGCCACAGCTGTTCTAGATGGAGGCAGGAACCCCATGTGAGGGGCACGGAGGTGGGGGAGGAGTCTGAGGTGGCATCTTGGGCAAAACAGGGGAGGACAGGAGGGAGGTTTAGCTTGAGAATGAGAAAAATCACCCCCTCACTTAGGGGCTATGTGAGACCAAGAAGCAGAGGTGTGATCCCAGGAACCTGGGAGGGAAAGGATGGAGGAGCTCAGTACAAGGACGAACTCTCTAACCCAAGACTGGGCGTGCTCCTTGGGAGACCATGGGTTCCTGGCCACTTGCAGGAGATGCTGCAGAGGGAGGGCGGGGTTTAAAAATCTCAGAGAGCAGGGCGCCTGGGTGGCTCAGTTGGTTAAGCGACTGCCTTCGGCTCAGGTCATGATCCTGGAGTCCTGGGATCGAGTCCCACATCGGGCTCCCTGCTCAGCAGGGAGTCTGCTTCTCCCTCTGACCCTCTTCCCTCTCGTGCTCTCTATCTCTCATTCTCTCTCTCTCAAATAAATAAATAAAATCTTTAAAAAAAAAAAATCTCAGAGAGCAGCTCAAAGGCTCACCAGCTGTGTGCCCGTGCACAGCTTACTTAACCTCTCTGAATCTCAGGTCCCTCATCTGTGAAATGGGCCTTATACCGCATAATGGTATAAGGATTCAGTATCCTGAACTTGTCTGAGTCTGGGAACCCCCAAGATGCTTCTTGGAATGACAAATCTTGGGGCCCACTTCAGGCCAACAAGTCAGAGCTTCAGGGGAAGGACTGGGAACCTGCATTTTAAACAAGTCCTATGGGTGATTTTTAGGATTAGGCAACTTTGAGAAACCCCAGGATGGCCCAGGTGAAGCCCTCGTCACACCATCTAGCACTCATAGGCTCTCGGCAAGTGGCAGGTAGATGTCAGCCCACAGAACGATGGCGTTATTGCACTGGGTTTGAAGTGAGTAACTCCAAGGGTCCTTCTAACTCTGGTTTCCACGTTGATACAACATAAATGATGGAACACAGTTGCCGGGGCAAAGTTCACTAGGATTCCCAGTAAAGGGCGGCAGCATGGTTTTGAAAGCACATATCAGCGCCCTCGTGTGGCACTGTGTGGTAATTCCACTTAAGCATTAGAGAACACAGTATGAAACTTTCAATCATTTATTTAAGCAGCTTAACGACAATAACAACTCATGTGTCGAGTGCTTATTATGGCTGGGCACTGTGCTGGGTGCTTTACGATGTTATTTCACTTAACCCACAACACTCTCCATTTTGCAGGTGAGGAGACGGGTGCAGAGGGACGAAGTGACTTGCCTAAGGTCACCGAAACTACAGACCAGCGACTGAGGCCAGACTCAAACTGGGGTCTCTTAAACCCCAAGGCCACACATTGGTCATTAGTCACGGTGTATTGGACACCCTCCCCTCCCTCGTGTTGGCTTCAAGGATGCCACAGGAGGCCCCGAGGATAAAAGCTACCCAGGAACTGTGAACTTGAAGTCCTTGGGGATGAAGGCCATGTGCTTGGCCAATAGGGGAAGTTACACACCTACTCGTGTGCTTCTTGGTTTGAAGGCGAAAGAGGAAAATAACCATAAAAACCTTTGTACAGTGTTCGCTCCATGCCAGGCACTGTGTTGGCCATTTGACGTGGATTGACTTTCAATCCTCCCATCAGCCCTGTGGGGTAGCACCTATCGTTATCCATGGTATAGGAAGAAGAAAACCGAGGCCCAGAGGGGTGAGGGAACTTGCCCAAGGTCGTACAGCTGCTGAGTCGAGAGCTGGGATTTGAATCCAAGCAGCCTGGCTCCAGAGCCCCAGCTTTTAGCCTCTAGAGATGCTCCAGAATATTTAGAGCATAAAGAGGGGGACAAGGCTACATCTTTATTGGGTAATTCAAACTTTCAAAAGTCTACAAGCATCTGGACAAAACTGGAAAAAGCCGGCAAGTACAACAGTCGTGTGAATTTACATGAACTAGGGGAAAAAACATGCCTAGAGTACAGTAAATCAAAGGTTTTGGCATTTGTTAAGCACCAGTGCCTGGCACGTGGTATGTGTTATGTAAATGCTTGTTCATCAAACAACAAATTAAAATCAGGCTGGTGGGGGAGAATATCAAACAACAGCCCTGCAAGTACACTCTGCCAGGCCTGAGGGCCTTTTTAGGGTTCTGTCTCTCTCGTGTGGGGTGGTGCGACCTCTCCGGGGCATGTCAAGCCCTGTGTTCAGGGCCAGAAGAAGTTCACAAGTTCACTCACCTTGCTTTGCAACACGAGAATTTGTTGAGCCCGGCCCCTCCAGGTCCCCGGGGAGGACAGGAGCTGCTGGACATTCACATCTTCCCCAACCTCACTGGTCAAAACCTGAAAAAGGGAGGGCCTTCAGCGAGGCCAGGAGAGACGGCCCCCACCAGAACCCTAAAACCAGTGCATCCTTAGAGGCGGTGCTGGGTGCGTGGGGCTCCCAGAGGGCCTGGCCCCCGCCTGCACCCCTTCCTCCTGCCCCAAAGGCCAGCTGACCGTGCTCTCAGAGCAGCGGCCCCTGGGAAAGAAGTGATTCCCTCGTCCCCCGCATTTCTTGGTGTTGCTTCCAGCAGGTGAGGAACTGCCAACAGTGTTCAGATGGGGCCTTCCGCCCTTGACATATTCTGGGATGAGTGAACCACAAAGTTGACCAAAATCTGCTTCCTCAATTTGTTCACCTGCCACTGAGCACTGAGATCCTTCTGGATGGCTACAGGAAGTACACTGCCCCAGGGCCTTGCCCTCTGTGAAAAGCCACTGACTAGGGGCCATGTCTGAGTGCAGCAAGGAGGGGGACCACCAAACATCATCTGGAGAGGCTTGATTCCAGAAGGGGCCCACATTGTGGCTGTTGAAGGGTGGGGTGTAGGCCCTACCTCAAGGCTTTGAGGTGGAAACAAAACACACCAGCTGGTGCCCCGGGCCCCTCTGAAGCCTGTCACGGGAACCAATCTAGCGCCCCCGAGTCTCTGCTGCTTGTTTCCACAATAGAACACTGTTTTGGAAATCTTGGCTTGTCTGAGTGGTTCCAGCAGGGAAGACAAATGCCAGAGAATTCACTATGTAAATAAAAATAAATAATGAACCAGCTGGGCCTGCATCCCAAGTCTGAGTATTTTCCTTTGAAAGGGGCCTTTAATACACAAACAACCTATTCATTTTCTAATATTACAGACAGCAAAGGGCAGGAGGCAAGTCTTGGCAGGCTTCCAAGTCCAAGGTGGCTTATTAAGGAGAAACCCAGGATCTACTAGGGTGCACGTAGCACAAGCAAAATCTATAGGACTCTCGCTGGGTAAAGGGCACTGCTCTCCTCTGTCCAGGGCGGGGAAGGCACCACAAGGGCCCCGCAGGCAGCCAGCAAACCCACTCCCCAGTGGTCTGTAGGAAGGGCTGACAGAAGGAAGTTACTGGATCTGGAGCCTGCCCCAGAGCATGATGCTCACAGGGCCAAGCACTTGCTGCTCCTGAATGGAACCCATTGTCCTGGCCATGCTCTTCCCAATCCCAGCCAGACAAGAACCCCTGACCCCTGGCTCTGGAATACCTTCTGGGCCATCCGGAGCTCCTGCTTCACAGACTGGATCTGGTTGCGGAGGTCACTCATCTTCAGGTTTGTGGCTGTCAGCCTGTCCTGCAAGACCTTCACCTCTGGGGCCTCTGGCTAGTTGGGCAGGAGAGAGGAGAGAGCGGTCACTTGTTGCCAAAATCGTAACGATAATCGTGGCTCCGTTCAGCCAGGGCTGTGCCAGGCACCGGGTTAGGTGCTCCACGTGCAGCAACTCACTGATTCGTCATGAACTTCTGGGGAGGGGTTCTGTTGCCAGCCTCTTCCAGATGCAAAGCAGAGGCTGGTGGAGGGGGACTCCCCTTGGCTTGAGTGGGGAGGACCTGGCTGGGAAAGCTGGAGCAGGGACACGAATCCTGGCAACCCACCTCGGGGGCCTGAGCCCTTCGCTCAGAGCACTGCACATCCAGGGATGCAGGTGGTGGCCACAGAGGGGGAGCTCCTGGAGGAGGCCTGCAGGCTCCACACCGTCCAGACACTTCCTAGGCATGGGCACTCTCTGCTGAGCTCTGGAGGCTGCCACCGCAGCTAAACCATCTCCACTCAGAATAAAGAGGGGCTAGGGACACCTGGGTGGCTCAGTCGGTTGAGTGGCTGCCTTCGGCTCAGGTCATGACCCCAGGGTCCTGGGATTGAGCCCTGCATCGGGCTCCCTGCTCAGCGGGAAGCCTGCTTCTCCCTCTCCCACACCCCCTGCTTGTGTTCTGTCTCTCGCTGCATCTCTCTCTGTCAAATAAATAAATAAAATCTTAAAAGAAAGAAGAATAAAGAGGGGGCTAGTTCCATCACAGAAGGCAACCCCCAACGACCCTCCTAACTCAGGGCCTCCTTCTGAAACCACCAGCTTATTTCTTGAGCTCCCTTTCTTGGCAATGAGCTCACTCAATAGAAACAAGGACCAGTTTCATCGCCAAATGCTCCATTTCTGTGGCTTGAAGAACTGCAGCAACCACAAAAACTCTGCCTGCTGGAACTCTTAGCAGTGTCTTTTTTTTTTTTTAATAATGTTTGATTTAAACTACTTGGATGTAAATTTTTCTCAAATGTGCCGTCCATTTCTCAGTCTTCAGTAGAAGTTTCTGAGGCTCACAGAAGGTTGGCATTAAAGGGATGCCTTCTGTCAGAATCTGCCCCAGACAGCATCCCTCATACGCACCTCCTCTCAACACTCACAGGCCCCCTGGGCACTGGTGTTAATATACCCCTATTTTTACAGCTGAGGAAGCCAGGCTTGGAGAGGGGAGTCGTTGCCGCATTAAGGCAATGTAAGTGATGAAAATAAGGCCCAGAGAGGGGGAGTAACTTGCCATAGGGCACACAGCAGGTTGGAGGTGACACGAGTCAGATTAGAAGAAGCCCGGTCCTTCCCCTGCCCTAGCTGATTCTCCCACTTGAAGCTGTTTCCAGCACCCGGGCATCACGGGTGGGCTGAGCATCCCATCAGGCAATGATGCCAAGACTGTCTGCTCCTGCCCGACAGACCAGGTGGGCTGAACTTCTGGGAAGCTGGGCAGGTGCTGCAGTGGCTTTCTGAGCTGTCTTCATCAGGCATACACAGAATCTCCTGGGGACACTGGCGTGGAAGGCAGGTCCACGGAGACTGGGTCTGGGAAGTTCCCCGGTCCCCCGAGTTTGTGGACAGCCCAGGTGAAAACCACTGGGGGAGGAAACGGGAACCGGACACACAGTCCAAGAAGTCTGACCCCATCTGGTTTCCTCATTTATGGACTGGGTACAAGAATCCTCCTCTGTCCTGCTTCTTCACAGCACCACCATGAGGCTAAACAGAATACCCAAGTGAACAGAGTATAAACTGGGAACTTATATAAAACACAAATGTATCTTTAAAAAAAAGTGTGTGTGTGCATGTGTGTGTGTGTGTCCTTCCCCCTGTCTGGCAGCTTGCCATTCCTTCTCCCTGCTGTTGGATGCCTGTCCTCCCCCAGCTAAGGGGCTACTCTGCACGTGTCTGGGCTGGGAAGCAACACCCCCTGCCTGTTGGGTCTTGGGTGCACGAGGCCCGCAGGCCCTGACAGGTGGTGGTGCAGGGGCTGTGTTTATGAGCTTCCCACATGACGGCCGTGACCCTGCTCAAAGCCTGGGAAGAGCACGCATCCGGGACTGGATCTATAACATAGGCAATGACTCCCCTCTCCACGCCTGGCTTCCTCATCTGTAAAAATAGGGGTATATTAACACCAGTGCCCAGGGGGCCTGTGAGTGTTGAGAGGAGGTGCGTATGAAGGATGCTGTCTGGGGCAGATTCTGACAGAGGGCAATGCCGGAGGGGGTGCCTAGCCTGACCTGGGGTAGCTGGCAAAGGCGGCTGAGGGCTAGCCAGTGCCATCCACTTCTCGGTCTTCTGCTCTGCCAAGCCCCTAGTCCTCTCCTCCTGGACGTGGGGCCAACCCCACGTCGCTGCCATCTCAGAGCTGCTTCTGCCCAGAGCGAAATTCCACAGGCTTTGTGGGGGACTTGAGGAGGGGCCTAACCCTCCCCTTCCCTGGGCCATTTTCTTTGAGGGACTAAATGAAACGCAGTCCAAGGGGAACAGACGATGCCAATGCTCTCGCAGCACAGCCTCTGGGAGCCCCATGCCGACCGTACCGTGTGGACACAGGGCATTCAGCTCCACTCCGGAATGCGCTTTGGCGCCCGGGGCCCAGAGTGTGCCGTGAGCGCAGGCCTCTGAAGTGTGGTTCAGGCTTGGGCTACCCTGAATGGTGAAGTGAGGGGGAACGCTGCTTTTGTTCTCTCTCGGATCCCAAGTGCCCTGGAAAACACACGGTACTGCTGAACGGAGGCTTACTGCCCATCACCCGCTCTTCTGTCAGAAGCCTACCAGCAAAGCTGAGTGCTCCAGCTCCAGCTCCAGCTCCAGCGGCCAGTCAAGGCCGCCTTCCGTGGGTTGCCCCACCCTAGTAGCCTTGTTTGGCTTACATTCTCCTCCCCCGCTCTCCCCCCTGCAGGCCCTGGGCTGTGGGCAAACATTGTCCAGCCCACAGGCAGCTAGCAAACAGAATAGGAATACTTAGTGCTCCCCGGCCTCTCAGCCTCGGCTTGTACTGCTCCTGCTGGAGGGCCCTCCTCCATCCCCCTTTCTCCAGCAAGGCCCACCTCAGGACCCCCTCCTCCAGCCCACCTCCTAGCTGCCTCACAGGGAGGGTGTGCTCTCTCTGTGAACTCTGAGGCCCTGGGGCTCTTTCTGAAGGCCCTGGCCCCCTCCTTCCTTCAGTGTGGCTACTCATCTCCCCTCCTGGGCTCCCCTGTGGACACAGACCCTGTCTTTGATTCCCTGTGTCACAGGGCTCAGAAAATCCTATTGCGCTCAACAAGTGACTGAGCAAGCAGCCTCCCATTAATGGCAGCCTAGTCAGGAACATGGCAACGCTCCATGTTCTGGATAAACCGGGAGCAGCTTAGCAGTGTCCCCTGGAGCCAGGAAAGGTCCTACAGAACAGCCCCTGCCAAGGGCAGAGCCCCTCTATTGCCTCCCCAGCAATGAGACAGGGTTACACAAGACTAGCCTTCACCCCACTAGGTTCGCCCCCCTGGAGCCCTAGGGGCCTATCACTATAGACTGAGGGCTGAATTCTCCCCAAGTCAGGCATGAAGTGGCTTGACCCTGAGTTGTAGGCAAAGGGAGGTGGAGCTAGAAAAGGAGCACTGAACAGGGAGTCCTAAGGCTTGACTCCCTCTATTTCCAAGAACATCCCTGGGGAGGCCTCCTGGGTTGTTCTTAAGACTCTGAGGCTACTTATCCTCTGGCATGGGCTCCATGCCCCTCCCCAGTAGCCCACAGGGTCAGACTGTCTTCCTTTCGTGAAGCCGCAATTCCCATTTCCTGGGTTCCAGGCCCTACTCACTGGCAAGGTAGAGTGGAATTGGGAACAAGCTGCCATTCCCAACAGTCACTTTGACTTTGTAGATTTGGAGTTCCACAAAGGGAAGACTTCTCACAATATGAAATGTCCCCCCACCCCCAACAGGGCTCTCTTGGGCAGGAGTGAGCTCCCTGGCCCTGGGGTAAGTAAGGGGCTGGATGTCTCCCCAGTGAGGATGCTGTAAAGGATGCAGCTGGGCTGACAATGGGAGGCCAGCTGGACCAGGCCTTCCCTGCTGGTCCTGAAATTCTAGGGTTCCAGGGCCCTCCGGCCCTTCCTGTTCTCCCTCTCTGGGGACTGAATCAGGGTTAGACCTTCACTGGCCTCCACTGGGGCATTCCTGGCCTCAGGCTACAGACTTGGTTACTGTTCCCTGATGACCATGCTGAGGATGCTGCACTGGTGGGCTTGGCACAGCAATGGGGTGGACCCTGGACGGAGGCGCCTACACTCCCATAGAGGACAGGAGGCCCAGGCCCACAGACTCCCCAGCACAGATGAGAATTCATACCAAGGCTCTGTCTCCCATCTGAGCCCTCGACACTTTGGCTCCCGCATCGGTGGTCACCTTGGCTGGTAGCCTGGCCAGGGCCGCCTGCAGCTGAAAAGCAAACCTTGCACTTAATATTGCATTCTGCTTGGCAACTGTGGTACCTGAGTGCGGTGCTCATGCCGCCGCAGGGTGTGGTTACTGATCTCGCTGGTTCACCTTCCAGCTCACTTTAGGACCATTAACAAAAGAACTCTCCCCTACAAACTGCTCTGCGGTGAGAGAGGGTTTGATCGATTGTCTGCCCCACTCCCCAGTCACACACTAGGATTAACTAACAGCTTCATACATAATACTGTAGCCGTGGTCTGTATCCTGGAGCTCTGTCCACAATCTGGGAGGTGTAGCGTAAAGGGATAATGGACTTCATGTGGTAGATAAGAAGACAGGGTCAGAGATGCTAAGAAACCTGCCACATGGGCTCATGGCAGGGAGCCAAACCTAGTGCTTCATACAGACAGCCAACTGCCCCTTTAAAGCTTTCCTGATTGTTCACACAAAGACCAGACCGTGTCTGACAAGGCCGAGGTGGCCTGCCCTCCCACCTCTCTGACCTCATCTTCCTCTACTCTTGGCCACCTGGGTTTCCTCTAAGACCTTCTTCCCCACTCAGGACCCTTGGCTGGGCCTGCTGGGCCCTCTGCATGGGGGCCCGTCCCCCACCTTTCCCAGTGTGGCCCCTTCCCACCCTCCAGGGACCCACTGTGAGCGCCCCCTCCTCTAAGAGGCCCTGGGTGCTGGGTCTGCCCCTGAGGAGGGCAAGGCCCATGCCTATTTTGCTCCCCCCCACAGGGCCTGGCACAGAGCTTGAGGTGGTTCTCAAACCAGCTGTTATAGAATAAAGAAGTTCTAATTCAATGGCCAGCATAACATCTGGGGAGGACTGCAGACGGCAACAGAATTGAAATAGCAATGCAGCACCATCACGTGCCGTGTGAGTCTAGAAAGCCCCCTACCCTCTTCAAGCTCCAGCTTCTTCAGCCATATAAGGGAGCTCCATAGGTTCTCTCTAGCACGTGGATTCCATCTCAGCTCCGAAGGGACCATGAACTGCTCGGGCTGTGTCGTTGCAAGACTGGGGGATCTGTGACTAGCTGTGGGAGGGCAGGGGGGCAGCAGAAAGAGGAAGATGGGCAAAAGTGAGACCAGCTGCTGGAGTGCTCCTGGCTCTAGCTTCACACTAGCAAGGATCCCTGTTAATTTAGGTAACAAACGTTTATCTAGTGCTTGCTATATGCCAGGCACAGGTCGAAACGTTTTACACTGTTACGTCTCTTAATGGTCAGAAAAACCTTCGGGTGAGTACTGTTATTACTGCTATATGTCAGATGGAGGAAACTGAGGCACAGCGTGTTTATAACCTACTCGAAGTCACAAAGCAGGTCAGTGATGGAGCTGAGATTCACACCCAGGTCAGGCTCCGGATCTGTGTCCTAACCACTCTGACGGCTGCCTCCCTGTGCGCTGTGTCCCTCTTGCTTCCTGACACACTTTCCCCCCTCTCAGGAAATGACAAAGACCGAGGAACTCTTTGCAAACACTGACCCACAAGCCCTTCAGAAGGACCCAAAGCATCTAAGTGTGACTCCCTCTCTGGAGGAGTGGCCCAGGGTCCTGGGAGTCCCCTCTAGAGGCAGTAATGACCAAGGCCCCTCACTTCCCGCTCCAGCTCCTGCACGCGATTGCTCAGCTGCTTCACTCTGCTTTTCGCGCCCTCTGACTCTGCCGTCAGCACCCGGTTCTTTTTGGACAGCTCGACGATTTTGGTGGCAATCACATCCCCGGTCACACCGGCTGTGCCTACGATGAAGAAAAACAGCGAGGTCAGGGAAACACACAGGCCCACACATCAAACTCATGCCACACTACCCAACGGCCCTGGGGTTTTAAAAGCTAGAACCCTCATGAAAGGGCAGAGGCTCAGGGGAGTGACTACATACCTGGGAACCCTGAAACCCAACTCCAATGAGTAGAAATGCAGCCACTCAGCAAAGTGTAAATTTTACTTCTATGGGATATAAGTTTATTGCCCCAATTCTTCATGTCCTCCTCAGTGACAGGGTTACACATCCACACCCTAGGCTCTATGACTCTGCCGTGCCCTCCAGCCAATAGGTGCCCTCTCAACCCCTCTATTCCTGCCTGACTCTGGCTCAGCCAATGACTTGTTTGGTCAATGGGTTGTTAGCAGATAAGGCACAGGTAGAGGCTTGAAAAGCACTTGGGCAGTTAACTCCCCCTCTTTTCACTCGTGCCAACTCCACAAGGACACAGCCAGGCCAGCTGGCTGGTCCCAGGAAGAGGAAGAGACACGTGGAACAAGGCTAAACCGCCCTAGCCCAGGCCTGGCCTAGATCTGCCGAGCCCCAATTAACCCCAGATGTTTGATGCTTCTTGCTGAATGCTGCTGACATTATGTGCTGGTTTCTTACACAGAGTTTTGTGGTGACATCTAGTCAGTACAAACGCATGCATCCATCTGTAAATATTTGTTAGGCTTCACCAAGTATTGGGCACTCTCCGTACTAGGGATTTAATGGTGAATAAAAAAGACTTACAGAGTTTACGTTGTAGCTGGTGAGACAGATAACAAAAAAGCAAATAAATATGTATTCCAATGATCGGGAGGACTACATGCTATGAAATAAAGTGAAGTTGAGCAAGAGGGTGAGAGGGATGGGTGATGCAATTTTAGATGGAGTGGTCAGGAAAGGCCTGTGTGAGGAAGTCCATGTGAACAGAGACCTGGATGAATGAAGTGAGGGGTCAAGTCATCAAGAAGAGTGTTCTCAACTAGGAAGAGTATTCTAAGAAGAGGACACGGCAAGTGCAAAGGTCCAGAGGCAGGCATATGTTTGGAGTATCTGAGGACCATATGGCGGGCAGAGTAGCTGGAACACAGTGAGCAAGGGCAGGAGGCTGAGGAAGAGGTAGCTGGAAGGGTGTGAATGTGGGAGGTTGAATGGTATGGGGCTGTGCAGATGGCTGGCAATGGGAGCTAGCCCTGCTTGGCTACTGACTGACTGGGTGGCGTTAGAACCCCCGGCCCAGGTGTGCAACAGCAGATCCAGTCAGAGGGTCTGGAGGTTCTCTGAATGCTTCTGACACTCCAGCAATGGGTAACTGGCAGAGACACCTCCCTAGGCCTGCTTTTTAATACAACCATCATGAGCCTCAGAACAGCCTGAGTGTGACAACTGGTGGAAGGTAAACAAGGATGCCTGATGGTTTTCAGAGTGACTCAGCCCGGCCTTGCTGCTGCTGGCCTGGCCGGGCACTGAGTAGGGCAACTAGGGCAGCTGCCCTTGGCCACCTCCTGGCTGCTGAAGAGGCCGGGGATGCTTCAAGAGAAAGGGCTCAGAACATGGGGAGGGAAGCCCGACCTAGAAGTACACAGGGCCCAGCAGCGAGTTTTCTGGGTTATGTTTTCCTTCCAGGACTCAAAAATCCCAGAACTAGACATCATGAAGAGGTCCAAGAGAGGCTCTCTCTAGTCTATTTTTTTTTAAAGATTTTTTTAAATTTATTTCAGAGAGAGAGAGAGAGAGAGCACAAGCTGGGGAGACAGGCAGAAGGAGAGGAAGAAGCAGACTCCCCGCTGAGCAGAGAGCCAGACGTGGGGCTCGAATCCAGGACCCTGAGATCATGACCCGAGCCGAAGGCAGATGCTTAACT